TCTTTTACCTTTCAGGATCGGAGTAGGGATGGATACCAGCAAACTATCCAGGAAACCAGAAGAAAGGTCAGTGGGGGTAGGAGGGGGTAGGGGAGGAAGATATCCTCGTGATTTCTTGAAATACTGTCCAATGAGAGGTAGTAACACGTTTAGTTTCTTCGTGCCACTGAAATCAGTATAGGCAACGGTTGGATGGGCGCCGATGACTTCGAGCGAGTTGGCTTTTTTTTTCACAAAGATACGCCTAACTGCCATAACATTGCTATAGAAAAATGCAAGGAGCAAAAGTGACAGAGGAAAAAGCTAATTAGGAATTAATTAGCTTATAAATTACTTTCTTAGGATTACATCAGTTTTAGAACAAATCCTTAAAGGCGCGAACATCTTATTTTCTAATTCTGGGATAACTTTTACTTACAAGTGCAGTAGCTACCATGAATATTAAAAATTTAGCACAACTATGGTTTTTTCCTTCTTCCATATTTGCTTTTTGATTCTGTGCCGACGTTATGACCCTTGAAATTAGTACACCGAGCCTTGGAATTGGCGTTGCAATGTTGACAGTGAAGACACTCAAACTCACCCATACTAGTTCCAGCGGATGCAATTTCCATCGCAAACAATTCCAATGCTTTCTTCTGTTGATGATGAACTGCCAGCCATAATACTGCTTCCCTGGGATTCTTCAATACACAAAAAGAAACAGTGTGAAATGTCAATTAAGTTAAAATTGTGCTTCAGGTTTGCGGTTCTTTTTAGCAGTTTTATCGAAATTGAAGTTTCTGTAAGCAGAAAAATTGTGCGAGGACGAGAAACCTCCATAATGTAAGCTGTTTGCTCGGATAAAGGTGCATATATAGCCAGAGAGATAATACATTCATGTTAGTCTTAAAAACCTCCGATCACCATATTCACTCTTATTTTCCAACACTCACTTTCCAGACCAGCCCAAACTCGTTAATTCCACACCTACAAATCTGCAGTAGATCCTGAAATTTCTGTTAGATTCACACAGTGCCTCAAGTCTTTCGAAAACTGTCTCTTACACCCTTTTAATTACTTACTGCTGTCATGATCCCTGGAAAGGCATGTTTTCCATATGTCTCCTCGGAGCCCAAAACCTGACACGGAATTGTGTACGGCGTTAATAAAGATATTGTTCAGATATACCTTTCACCCCAAAGATCTCATCATTAATTCTACTTAATGACTGCCATACAATTCTTTTGATTTTAGTTCTGAGAATTCGTGATCGGATCAATTAATAATCCCCTGGTTGATATTTTTCTTTATTCACATCACCTGTCTGCCTGATATTGTACGGATATTGTGAGGAGAAATTCTCTCTTGGTCACTCATGGAAAGTGAAGGGATATATTGACTGCAAACAGAATTTAACCGACAGCAACATGTGGTATCGATATCACAGCAGCACACATTCAGAACTGTTACCTGAATATGAGTTCGTGTGTAGTCATCCAGCTTTAAATTTTCAAACATTCTTCTTGTCCTATAGAAATTTTGCCAATTTAAAGTAATTAGAAGCTGATAATTCCCAGAAGCAGGAGAGTCATAAAACGCTTGTGTCGTAAACCAAACCAAAAAAAATTACAATGGCTGATCAAAAGAAAGGAAAATACCCTGAAGAGCCAGTAACAACTCAAAACAAAAAAGTGTAATTCGCCTAAAGCGCGGAAAACGCGGGAAAGCGCGGGAAAACACGGTAAAACGCGGGAAAACGCGGGTGTCCAAGATTGGTGTTAGTTTTGCATTTGATTGGTCGAGAGAATGGTAGAAGTTTTGTGGACCAATCACAGAACGAATTAGAGGGAAACTAAAGCAATCCCGGAATACTTTCGAAACCCAGTTGAAAATTGCTCGAAGAGGAAACAATTACTATTATAACTTAGCTAGTAAATTTGTTTAATCAAATTCAATTGCATGAGCGTGTTTCATATTCCTATTGTCGCCCGTTCATGACGTCGCAAACAAATCCCTTGAGTAAAAAATTTTCTCCGCGATTTTTTTGCTTTGGGATTTTACTATTAAAAAAATGATTAAGACTTCGGCGGCAATTTAGGCTAAACATGGAAACAAGATCGTTTACAGCGTAGCAAAATGTTTTCCTCAAACAAAATTATCAATGCGTTTAAGCGTGGCTGAGGGAATATTAACCCTTTTACAACATTTAAACCATCGGATTGAAAATGTTATAAAACAATTGGTTCATACGTCAGCTGTGCGTTCATCGAGATATGAAGCACTTGGGAAGTTTGGAGGGCACTCAAGAAGCTAGACATCTTTCGTGCTCTCCAAACTTCCCGCGTGCTTCATATCTCGAAGAACGCAGGCTTACGTATGAACCAATTGTTAAATATACACCGTAAGGACATTACAACTGGAAAAAGATAAAGCCTTTGAATCGTGTATACTTTTCTAAGGCAAAGTATATTCGTGTATAAGTCAAAAGGCGATAGTTTGCACACGAAACAAGTGGCTCAAACAACGAGGAGCAAGTTGTTCAGAACAAGGTAATCTTATGTCTAGTATGCTAACCATGCAATCGGACGCCATCTCAGCTTAGTAGGGGTCAAAATATCTTACCTTTTCAAGAGGGCTTCGCCCGTTTTCTTAGCTTTAAGTGAAGCAAACGGCCCTCCAACAGGACAAACAGCTGTGGCACGAAAGCCATCTGCATACGTTGCACACACCTGTTACCAAACACAAATTATGATATCTGTCAGTGAAAAAATTCAAATCGCCCCCAATAGAGAAAAGACACCAAAACTATCCACTATCAAAGGGAACATGATGAGTGGCAAATCGGAATAGGTATCACAATGGGTTTCAAAAATGGTGACTTGTGACTTTACGCGCAGTATTTAAAATAATTTGATTATTTCAACTGAGTTCATAAATAAATGTAACTTGGCCACCATAAAGAGTTTCTAAATCTTTCCTGTGGCCAATTTACATTTATTTATCAACACAGTTGATAAAACCCAATTGAAGTATCGCTAAAAAGTAGGTCGACAGTCTTGACACGAAACTCGATCCTCGTAATAACTGAGAATTGAGGCTCGAGAATCAAGGCTTAAGGATCAAGAATCAAGACCTGAAGATCAAGAATCAAGGGTTAAAGATCGAGGCACTCGCAGAACTTTTCAAGGATCACATCTCTAGTTTTGAGGAAACAATTTAATTCTCACACGCATAAAAATAGCAATGGGCAAAACACTTACAACTCTGCTTCTCCTTTCTCAGACCCTCACCAACCCAGCACCACACGTTCTTTAGGAACTTACTCCTACTATTTCACTAAATAAATTTTACCTTGTACACATCTGAGGCTGGTTTGCCAACTGCACCCTGAACAAGAACTGCTCCACCATCATAACCTAATCCAGAAGGAATGTTCAATTATTTCAACTCCTGAGTAGCTCTTCTTATCAACATTTCAGATCTAATTATCAGAGACAACTTATTTCTTCAACAGAAAGAAAGCATATCGCTTAATACTTACAATTAAATGTGACAAGTTATGATATACTTGGCAAAATAAAGATGTCTAAGAGGTACCATACACAGAGGGATTTATTGGCAAGCATGTGGAAAGACAAATTGGACGTAAAGTATTTTCAAGACAATGAATTCCATAAATAAACCAACTTAAAAGTTACATTGCACACTTGAAATGGGACAACATTTCTGACTGCGATAAAGAATTCTACAGATGCACATTTTGAACTATTCCATCAAGTAACCAAATGGGTGTGTCAGGTATACACCAAATATCAAAAACAAGTGTATAAATGAATTAGAAAGGAATATTTATATTGTAGGCCTACAGCACTCACCAATGAGTCCTTGAAGCCTGACTTGCGTAAAGTCGCAAGTCACATCTGGGAGAACATATTGAGCTGGGTCTCCAAGCTCGTAAACCAACTGGAAGGAAAAAAAAAAGAGAAATGTTTCCTGCTTAATCCTTTATAACACCTTAGCAACAAATATTAATAACAACAATAAAGATAACAAAAAAATAAACTTCCTCAAACCTGTTCAGCTACAGTAGATGGAGACACCAGTCCTCCAGTGTTGGGAGGTTTAGAAAGAATAAACTTTCCATCTGCAGCACACTCAGCTATGGGATAACCGATATTGTCCCTAAAGAGATAAAACCCATTTTGATTGGTACGTAGAATGCAAGTAACAGATACAGACAAAAGTTCAGACAACAATAAGTTATTCAAAATATAAAGTTACCACAACCCCCAAAATTACCAAAATATTAAAAAACTCAATTTTGCAAAGTTCACCATAAAATTTAAATTCAAGATTGAGATACCCACCAATTATGTACAGTCTGCCAGTCAGTGAAGATTCCTCCAGTGCACTGGGCCCCACACTCAACTAAATGACCCACCAAACTAAAAATCATTAAATTATTACTTAGTATATATGTGGATAAATATATAATTATATAATCACAGATATCAACTATTTACAGGGCAGGAGGCCTGTATAGGTAAAAACTGAGCCTGAGGTCGTGAGTATGGCCCAGGGCCAAAGGCTGAAGACTAACTTTGATGGTTTTGGTTTTTCTCCACTTCACCGCCAATGGCACAGAAAAAATTCTGAATCATAGACAGCATTGTGAAAAGTTGGACCAGCTACGAACATGCAATTGGCTAATCAGGTTTGATGATTTAAGATTCTGGCCCCCTGAATGCTTCACGAAAAAATAATGTGTTATCTTTATCCAAAACTTAACACCTTGAGAATTCAAAGCTTCACATATTTTAAAGATGTTTTGCTAAACAAAGTTTAAATTTTTTCTTCATACAGTTTAGAAGCTGCAATGATTGTTGCCTTGAAATTTATCAAATTGAAAATACAATTTGGTGATACTTGAGGTTTGACTAAACATGTTCAGCGGGTGTGAATTCTGTTTTGGTTGAAAGTATATTAAATCTCATGTAAAATTCACTATCCATAACTAGATCATATATAATCCATAATGTAATTTGCCATACATCATTTCAATCTAACCTTCCAGATGCAAGTAAATCGTAATCATTTGGCTTCCATCCAAACTACAAGAGACAATGTCATGTTACATTTTATTTTAAATAACATCGTCAACACAACAAGCACGTATTTTTGTAATCAAGCAGGGAGAACTAGTTAGGCAAAATTTATGGAGCTATAGCAAAAATTTTGGATTATGCAGGTTAAAACATGAAATTTACATTTTTAGCTGATTTTAGCAGCACCTTTTTTTTTTTAATGCACAGGATAAGCTGTCAATATAGAAGGGGTTTACCTCATACATAAGAGGGCCAAGAACCAATGCACTGTCAACACATCTTCCAGTAAGAACTACATCTGCACCAAGCTCCAAGGCCCTTACAATGGGAAGGGCTCTAATAATTAAACAAAAATAAAAATTAATGAAAGTAGCTTTTTCAACAAAAACACAATCAATGTACTACAAATATCACCTACTTAAACATAATAAAAATATTATTGAAAATAATAACAATTTGGCAAGGGGGCTCCATTTGTTACTTAACCCTTTCACTCCCATGGATCTGATTGTTAATTCTCCCCTCTAGCTGCTACACATTTCCTTGTAAAATAGCTGCAAGAATTTGGTATTAGATCAAGATAACAACTTTAAGGTGATAAGTTTGTGTATTCTTATTACCTGCTTGTTGGATAATGTATGGTCATTAGAGGGAGAAGTCACACTTTAATCACTTCTGAGAGTTAAAGGGTCAACCATTTGACCCCTAGTGGTGACTTGAAACTAATTTCTCCTTACAATATCACCCCTGAATTCAACATTAAGGTGACAAAAATAAAGGAAATGATCACCAATTAGTAGATGCTCTTGATTTCAGAAAAAAATTCTCCCTGTCAACATTTTATTTTTTTAGAGAACAGTATGGTGAATATGCATGCTGGCGTTAGGGTGTAAAGGGTTAATTTTTCAATGGGCACCACAGGAACCTTGCACAAGAAGTCAAGTGTATCAGGTGTCAGGGTTCATTTGTCTCAATTCTTGAGCTTGAAATGACACACATAATAGTGGAAGGGGCCTGTAAGAGTATCTTACCAAATGAGTACCCACTGTTTCTTACCCTATATACGCATTCATGCTGACAACACTGTCTGGGAAGTCTTGACCACTTGTCATCTCTTTAATGCCAGCCTGCTTTATTTGTTCAATGTCCCCCATAAGATCATCTCCAGTGACAACGGCAACTTTTAAGTCAGTTTGAGCTTCTTCTGCCACAGCAATCAAAGCTTTGGCACACTCGTGTGGATTGACTCCTCCTGCATTACTGACCACACGAATACCTGAATGTTGAATAAGAAATCTGAATTGAAGAGAAATGCTTCAAGAAATGGAGAACTTTGTTCAAGGCATCATTTGAGAAAAAGTCAGTCATTACCACTCTAGTGAACATAGAATTGTCCTCAACAAAGTTTCTTTCTCCTCCTCATTTTAAGGGAATGGCTATGTTATTAACTAAGTTCATTCTAACTTACTAATTTCTTGATTAAATGATGAACTGAATCTAACACAAGGCTTCATTTGAGATAAAGTCATTCATTAACTCTTTAGATAACATCAACAAAGCAAAATGTTTCTCATCGTTTGTTTTAGTAAATCAAGTTCATTCCAACTTATACTTAATTTCTTGATTGTATTGTAAGCTGAATCTTTCACATATTTTGATGGTTTTGTATTTATGATCTGTTGGAGGACAGAGGCATAGATGATGTCACCACTAAGAACATTGCGCTTTTTTATCATATAAAACAATTAGATTCTATACTGCCATGGGTCTGTACAGTGATAGATCATAGACTACATTATCAGTGATATACCCAGGTGACATACTCAGCTGCGCCGCATGTGCCACTTTTTCGTTCTTTCCTCATTTGGACATCATCTGTGATCTATTACTGAACAGATGTACCACACCATAGAATGTATTTGTTGAATAGAGTATTCAGTTACTGAGCTATAAGAAGCATTTGATTCAGTACCTTCAACTTAAGTCTGATCATTGTTTGACAATGGTGGTACCCAGTCACCCCTACCTTTTTTCTTTATGGGTTTGATGAGTACTTTCATAACAGACTGTATGAAGTCAGGTGCATACCCCATAGTCTGAAAAAGTCAAATAATCACTCCTACTGTTTATTATTTACTACAGTTAAATAAAGTAACAAACAAAACCTGTGTATCCACACACATTCTTCAGAGAATTAAGGGGGTAAGTTTCTAAGGAAACTGTGGTGCTGCATCAGTGGGAGAGTATAACAGGATAATTTAGTATTATCAACTGAGTTGATAGGATAAACTGGCCACCGTAAAGAGTTTCAAGGCTGGCGTTTTAAGCATTAGCCCTTGATCATTTCAGATACTGAAATTGATCCCAAGAAACCAACAGTAACTCGCCCCATTATTCACAGAGATTATAAACAAATGACATTATCACATAATATATATCGTAAAAATTATAATTTGAGCTTATATTAATCTAACATACTTTTTCCTTGGTTAAATGCTATTTCCTCTTGTTCTAGGGCATGTATGTGAATGATAATTTAAGTAATGATAACACAAAGAATATTACAATTAAAATCAAGGATAAAATTAAACAGTAACATATACAGTGTGCTTACAGGAGATTTTCTTTTAGCTGCTGTCAGAAGTGACATTGTGATTTCCGACAAGTAATCAGACACAAGATAATCTATATTGCCCTCAGAAACAAGCTGTGGTGCTACAATGAAAATGAAAAAGTAGGTAGAATTAATAGGATGCTATGCAAATTACATATCTAAATTAGATTTTGATTATGGCCTTTCCTTGAGGTGGCTTTTTCCCCAATGTTTCTGAATCAAATCATAATTACCTGTAGAAGTCAATGATCTCTGGCAGTACCAGAGCTATATTTTAGGTACAAGACTAGGACCACAGGCAAGAGCTGGGCATCACTAACCATTGCAATCTGATTGCTAATTCTCCCCTCTAGCTGCATCACATTTATTTGTAGATTATTTACAAGAATTTGATGTTAGATCAAGATGACAGCTTCTTCCTGATGAGTTAGAGTATTCTCATTACCTTTTAGCTGGATAATATTGGTATATTATAAAGAGAAGTTACATTTTAATCGCTTATGAGAGTTAGTAAGGTTATAATGACACAATTCTGAGTGCAATTTGGTGTTTCTTAGCACAAGTAAATTTTCCAAATACAACAAAATTGCGAGAGCAATTTGCAGTCTTTGACCAATTTAAAAATTTCATATAACACCAAATTGCAAGAGAAATCATGGTATTACTTGTTGATAATGTGCATGAAAAAACATTGCAGAAAGTCAAGACAGACAAAATTTTGAAAATGTCTGTGCACTGTTTGTACTTTGCATTCTTGTTACAACTTTGCAATTGTGTTACATGAGAACACACTCATTTTCAGCCAATCTGATGCACATAATTTTTTTCATGTACATTATCAACCCTTTAACTCCCAGATCAAATTTGTAATTCTCCTTACTGTCAACCATACAATTCTTATAATGTTATTTCAGAGAATTTAGTACTAAATCAACTAGTTATCCCCAAATTGATATTTTCTTATTCTCATCACTTATCTGTTTGATATCGTATTGATATTGTAAGGAGAAATTCTGTCTTGGTCACTCATGGGAGTTCAAGGGTTAAAGGATCAATTTATAGCCAAGGGTGCAACTTGCTTTAATGTTATGTGGTATGCAGTTTTCTTTACCTGCCAACATTGAATCTCCCCAGAATCCAGAGGCACAGCCTATACGAACTGTCTTTCCCTGCAAAGGGTTCGACATAAACCTTTTCTGTTGCCATCTTGAAGAACGTACCACAGCCAGATTACATCTCTCCCACGATAGCGCACCATAAAGATTCGTTACATTGCCACTACCTCTCAAGGACCGAGCTAGAGCAGCCATGTTCAAGTGTACTTTATAAATATTATTTGATAAAAATGAACAGAACTACATAATAGTGAGAAAAATGAAACGATCTAAAGAAAATCAAGAAGCCCTGCTCGCGATCGACAGGAAGGCCGACATCTTGAAGGCTTGGCTGCTTTGCAAACGGGTAAGGATGCAATAGAGGGCTTGCGCATTACGGAAAATAGCCAATTTCAGCAAAAATGGCGGAATCCGAAAGAATGGAAGTCGACTCCCCTGCAGTTTCATCGACATCTTCAGGTTCCAACAAGAAAAGGTTCGAAGTTAAGAAGGTAACTAAATTTCCTAATCATTATTTTCAGTCGTATCAGTTTCTGTGGACATTCTGTGGATTAAAAGTGATTCTTTCTTTCTATTTCTTTTAGTGGAATGCCGTTGCTCTTTGGGCTTGGGGTAAGTCGGACACTTTTTTCTTCAAAGGTTTTGAAAATCGGATCAATTGTTACTAAAGAAACAAATTTTGTTTCGTTTTCCAGATATTGTGGTTGATAACTGCGCCATCTGTAGAAATCATATAATGGATTTATGTAAGTCATGGTGAAACAGTTAAACGATAATTGTTGTAACGTGGATGTCATCAGTCTGTCAGAATAAGGGTACAACTTGTGTCTTTTATTAATTGATTGTCTTCTGTCCATATTTAGTCAAAAACTTTTAATTCCTTGACTGCATTTGCGATAGTTCTGAAAGGTTTAGATGCGACTGTACCAGAATGGCAGTTTTGACTGCTTGAAACGGCTGTATTAGTACAAAAACCTAAAACTCTATGTATATGATACAGTTTTTATATTGTTCTTTCTTTTTCTCCAGAGAAGTATTTAAAGAAGTCAGTGTACTACAGTCTAGCTACTGAATAGCAACCAACAGGAGATGAGACACTTGAAAGGAAAAATACTCTGCAACTGTATTATTTAAAAACAGTCCTTGGACATGTGCTGTATGCCATATTGATTTCCTGCATTGCTTTTATTTCAGGTATAGAATGCCAAGCAAACCAGGCTTCTGCAACAAGTGAAGAGTGCACAGTTGCATGGGGTGTTTGTAATGTAAGTGTAATGATAGGCATTGGAGAATGATGTTTTTTTCATCTTGTCATGAGTGTAGGACAAAGAAAAAATTCTGAGTCCCCATGAGGAATCGAACCTCAGACCTTTGGATTCCGCACTCTGATGCTCTACCACTAAGCAACAGAGACTCCATGGTGAGCGAGGTCTGTTACGAAGTTCATATGACACGCACCCTGCATACTGCTAGGATCAGCAATGTCAATAGCATAATGTTTGTAGTTAGAAATAAGAGAGATGGTAAGTTTTGAGCTCAGTAAAGAAATAGAGAATGATGTTTTTTTGTCTTGTCACAAGCATGGGACAAAGAAAAATGATAGGCACTGTTTACAAGCTACCTTAGTTAATTAAAGGAAATTAGCAATGCACCTGTGTTAATTAAATGCATCTTAATCTATGTTGATTTTGATTTAAATCGCACTATTTACATCATTGTTATTTATAAACCTTTATTTCAATAACAAAACCTTATTTGCTCATAGCTGAGGCCTAGAAATGCAAGGATCTAAGGGAGCGCTCCCTGTCTTGATCCATTTACTGAGAAATAAAACAATGAAAATGAGCTAATAATGGCTGGAAATGCTGCTGTTTTTTTTTTCTTCAGATAATTATGTATGTTGAGAAGTTTGTATCTTGCAATGCCTATGAAATGAAATATTGGACAAGAATAACGTAGTCACCTATGCCATAACAGTTTTCTCCTTGTATTTTCTTCTGCAGCATGCTTTCCACTTCCACTGCATCTCTCGCTGGTTAAAGACTCGTCAAGTTTGTCCTCTGGATAACAGGGAATGGGAATTCCAAAAGTAAGTTATCTCATGTTGCCTGAATCTAAAAAACTGAGAGAAAAAAATTCTTTTTCTTTCTATGATGTCATCCAAGTTTTTTCTATTATGCTTTTACTATGCTAAAATGAAAGGGAATTCTCTTTAATATCAACCATACAATTCTAATAATGTCAGTTCAGAGAATTTAGTATTGGATCAACTAATTATCTTCAAATTGTTTTTTTTCTTTATTCTCATCACTTATCCAGTTGATATTGTATTAATATTGTAAGGAGAAATTCTGTCTTGGTCACTCACGGGAGTTGAAGGGTTAATCTACTTCCTGAAATACAAATTACCATAGTATGGGAGACACAGTGGTCTAGTGTTCAGTGCACTGGACTCCCTTCTCCAACCAGGAGTTTAAATGGCTTCTGCTAAATTTTTAGGGAAGCCTGATGAAATTGGGTAATTTTTTTTTTTTGTATTTTATTAATTTTTATTAATTCAAAGTTACATACATTTTTCATAAACAAACATAATTCACATAAACAGACAGACACGGTACATCATATATCTACATACACAATCCACAGTTCCTCTTAGCTCTCCTCGGCTTCTAAATATAATACTATATTTTTTTATATATAATAAATGAAATTTGGGTAATGTTGTGATGGACTAACTTCCCATCCTGGGGAGAGTAGTGATACTCGCAGTTGCCCCATGCCAAGGAAACAGGAATAAGTTTTGGCTGGATGGAAGTTATTGAAATTGTTAAAATCAGTTTCTTTGCTATTCAACAAAAATGAAACAATCTTTTAAAAGTACAGAATTGTTATTTAACACTTAATTATCTTTGAGTAATGATTTCATAATATTGTTCAACAAACAGTTGAAAAGAAAAGATGGGTTAATATGCTGGAAGGTGTCACCTTGATATAACACCAATTTCTTCTAACTGATTTACAAGGCGACATCAAGTAATCCAAAGGAAGAGTTGCCTATACAATCATTGGATTGAAAGCACTGTAGTACTTGTTATTCAAACACAAAAGTGAAACAATTTTTCATTAATCTTGTGTTTTAGGTATGGTCGCTAAAGGTGAAGTATACCTCCTTCATTACTGGTGGTCCTCTTGTTATGGGTGCAGCATTTAGCTTAGTTATCATAAAACATTGCTTTTTTTCAATCTTGTAAAAATTAATTAATTAATTACATTCTGCAAGGTTTGTTGTACTTTTTGTCCCTTTTCAGTAATCAAAATAAAACCTTTTCCTTTCAATCCTTTCTTGTTTGTTACAGTATTGAATAGGTTATAATTTGCCGCAAAGAAGTTTTATCTCTCACTGTGTCAAATTTTGCCAGAAATACCTTCATTTTCAATAATAAGTTAGAGTTTAAATGAATTAGAGATTCTGCTAAAAAGACAGTATTCCAACAGCTAAGTAAACGTGTCATACACGATTATGGATCGAAACACCTTGCAACATGTTTGACATAGCCAGATCTATTGATTATCAGCCCACAAGGTAAGCCTATGGAAAGGTTAGGACAACTTTCATCAAGAAATTCTCCATTGCAATTAATTTTTTAATTCAGATTTAGCTTTAGAGCACTAGCGTTACTTCATTGTCTAGAACGACGGTGTTGCTAGACAGCAACTTCTCGAAACTTTTTCCTCCGGAAGGAGGAAGTGAAAGGACTTGGGACGAATATGGCTTTGCAGCTCTTTTGCGTAAGGTCAATCAACAGGACGAAGGTCTGCCGAGAAGACTCCTCTCGGGGATGGAAAAATTTTTAGGGGGCTGGGAAAGGGCTAGATAGAAATTATACATATATATTTTCCTCATAAACACAGCTCTCTGTGATGTTTGAGTTTCACAAGGATTTCTAACAATCTTCTGGCTGGTTGCCCGAAGAGAACGCTGAGAAAAATAATTTATCAAAATTGTTGCCTCGGGGGTGTTTACCACCGTCTTATTTTGAACCATAGTAATGAACTTTTGAAACAACTGCACTGAGAAGCGCAGTGGCTGGTTTTTAACCCTTTCACTCCCAAGATCTAATTAGTAATTCTTCTTAGTATCTGCCATACAATTCTTATGATGTTAGTTCAGAGAATTTGGTATTGGATCAACTAATAATCCTATGATTGAAATTCTTCTCTATTCTCATCACCCGCCTGCTCGATATTGTATTGACACTGTAAGGAGAAATTCTCTCTTGGTCACTTGTGGGAGTGAAAGGGTCAAGCGGTAGCTTGAGAAGGTGTTCGTTACGATGAAGTGAGCAAATGTTACAAACCAAAGTTTACAAGACTGTTATTCGAAGCGAGACAAAGAAGATGCAATGATCTGAACACTGTAAACCTGGTAAAAGTAAGAAAATAATCTCGCATAAGCGCCCTGCAAAAATCTAAAATCATAACCAAATGATTTTGCTCAGCTCACCCTTTTATTCCTGTCTGCACAATGTTATCGACGCCAAACAATTTGAACTTTAAGCGCGAGTTCGAGAAAGTTAGCAAAAAAAAAAAGTATGTCCGCTAGGGCGCCGCTCGTAACTCTGGGAGTAAGTTGCACGAGGCGTCCGCGCGGCGCGCTACTATAATTTTTTTTTTCAGATGATATTTTTGACTTGCATGGCGGATTTGCCAAAAAAAGAGGGACTTCTTGTAGTCTAGAGTAAAGACAGCAACATGTGCTCCTATTCAGAAGCATGAGTATTAAATATCAAACTGAAGTTGGGTGCAAAACCAGAAGATATCACTTGACAACATATGTTTTGTCATTTGATATAACCTATTTGCTAAGGGTGGAGTTCTTAAAAATGGCCACTGGACGGAAGATATATTAAATTGCTAGTTCTTCGAAAATACGACGTGATGCACAGCCACCAGTTTCAGTTTTGTACTAGTCCGAGATCAAGAGACTTCGTGTATTGCAGGTGAATTATAAGCGGCATGTGTTTATATATTTAAAAAACAAAACGAAAACAAAAAAACCAATTTCCTGTTTAAGTGGTTGTTATGCGACCGGTTAAGACGATCGAAATGCAAGCTTGCCAATTTTCAAAATTCATAGCCTTTGAATATTCAGGAAGCTGTTTTATATTCATGAGCAGAAACATGAAACCCATTATCTTGCTCAACATTTAGCGTCCATTTCTGTCGACCAACTGAGGTTTTCTGAGTTCCTCGACCTTCTAGATAACGTAGCGCACGCAAGTAGAGGTGGAGCTGTGTGGAAAGAAAAACTGGTTTGTTTCAATTTTATTTTGTTTGCACAATTTTTCCTCGAGCTCTTACAAGAAATTTTTTTGGTGGTTACAATTTTAGAAAGCAGCGACATCAAACGACAAACAAAAATTTTGTCTGAATTCACAAGCTGCTGTCTATCGAGTCTGTTTTCCGCTTTTCTCCTGGTTTTGTTAGGAGACTGAGTCAATGCCTTGGGGTCACCTTTCAGATAAACAGATGTGGTAGTCGCCAATTTTAAAAGAAAGTTCTCATAGTATCAAAGGGAACTGTCTCCACTTATAGCTTGGGGGTTTGGATGATTTTTCGCTCTTTTTTTGGGGGAGGGGTGAATTAGGGGAGGGGTTTTCAGGAGATACGAGTGGGGATCAGTCTTCGCTAACAGAGTACAAGGGGAGGACTTTACAGGATGGACTGCCATTATAAATGAAAACACTGTTGTATTAAGTAGTAATTCGCGCATGCGCGAATTTTTTAGGCCATTTCCTTGCACAGTTTACAGCCTCATCACAGTAATTTAGCGCGTATAATTTTAGTAGTCTTGTGTTTTGAGCTATCCCATTTCTTTTAATACCTTTTACGTTTCATTAAATTGGTCTGGGGTTCAAGTTCCCACACATGTCGCGTGAAGTGAAATTACATATACAACTTTTGTTCGAATAAGACTCCTTGAGGATGACCTGTGTGGACAAGGTCGGTGTCGCAACGGCGACCCAAATTTTTGAGCTGGGACTTTTAAGGTCCCTTTAACTCTTTGCAATGGGATGTATAAATACCACTCGACAATCAAACGCAACATAAGTTTTATGTTTTTCTCCAGCATTTTTCCATCAGCGTTATCGGATACCGACTCGTCCCAAACATAATGACCAAAATAAGTCATATCAACCTTTTTCAATCCCAGAAAAAGCCAAACTCATACCATAGCAATACAGGTTCAAGCAAAATGTGATGAGACGAACTAAAGACAATAACTAGGAGCTAGCAGGAGCCCATTTTCGTTCATGGGCTCCTGCTAGGAAATAATGCTGTAATCAACACCAAATTTTAAAAGCTTAAATCACAAGAAATATAAAACAGATAGCGCGGATGATTTTTCTTTAGTTCTGAAGAGTGAGAGGGTTGATCATGAATTACGCTGTCTCAACAATTTGTCTGCAACAAGATTTTTGACAGTTTAAAGAGCACTCCTCAAAGAAAGCGAAAAAGATCTGCTAAAAATACGATAGTATCAGCTATTACAATACATACAAAATTTCCGGCTGGTCGCTTGCAACAAACTGAAGTTCAACGTTAAACGGATGTGAATGTGCCAAGAGTAGTAGTTTCATATCTAAAAATAATGACTCTGCCATTCAAAAAAATTTTTTTTCGGTAATTAGGAAATTGAATGAGAAACATTTCAATCACATTCAGAGATGGAAGCTACAGGCCAACGGCCTCCCCGATCCTCATTCAATATTTCTTTGATTTTCTTTTTCTTCTTTTTTTTTTTATTTTTATTTTTATTTTTATTTCGGATCCTGCAACAGTTTATTATCAAACGGCAGGGTACTCCTGAGGTAAATTACTCGGCCAGAATTTGCTAAACGGACGGTTTCTACAATGACTGTCATAAGCCATGTATTTTTGTTCTCGAAAGTCAGCAAATTCAACTGAATAAACAAGTTCGGTCCTGGACTGCCATATACTAAACCATTTACTAACTTCGTTTGCTCTGGTCGTACTAGGAAATATTAGTTCTCGCTGGTTTTTAGACAGACTTTGTTACACTCAGTCCTCACTACCGCGACCTCGATCGAGCCAATATTCCCCGGTGCTGCCCTTGCGCTCGGATAGTTATAAAATGGTATTATCGGAAGAGAGCCCCCAACATATTTTAAAAGCAACCGAATAACTTAGCCCTGGCTGAAAATCAAGAGGAAATAGTATTCTTTAAGTAGTCCTTAGCGGAATATATCCAATTACGAGGCCTATTTTTTTTCGAATCATCAAGTATAGGAAAGTGTCATTCAATAGAGTTATATTTTTTATATTAAGTGATAGCTTCCATAGTCGATATTTTTATGTCGCACTACTTCAAAGTTACGAAAATAGAAAATGGCTAGGTTGTAAGAACCAGGAGACTCCATCACACTGAAAACTTGCGCCGTTGCATTATAATGTTCGCTGTGGGGGGTGGGGCAAAATTCAAACTTCCCGAAATAGTCACTGTGAATTAGTATTATTACGTAATCATGTGAAACCAAATAATTGGGCGTCTCTAACCGTGCTTTGCCTAAATGCCTCCTAAAGAAGGTGATCACAGAGCAGACAGAAAAAAAAATTTGTACATCAAGATTTAAACCTAAGTTGAAGACTTTTGACGTCAAATGAGACAAAATATTTATTTCGTGACAACAGTTGGGTCTCACTTGTGACGTCATTGATTTACTGCTCAATGGTTATGACGTCTTCGCTCGAACTTTCGATCTCAAAATAAAAACATGATCGCTCAGAAAGCCTTTTTCGGTGAGTTATTGATATTTGTTACAAATATAGCATAATGAAACAGACTTAACATCCTAAAGAAAGCGGGAAGCAAATCAAATACCGACAAATATGGTAATTTCTTTACGGAAGGTCACCGGTCGCGCTAGGGCTAACCATTAGCCGTAAAGCGGCTAAAAAAAAAAATAAGCCGTCAAGAGTAAAAATGACAAACTTTAACCGTTAGTGGTCAAAAAAATTAACTGTCAAAATGTTTCCGTTGCCGTATTGGAGAGATATTAACCGTTAGCCGTAAAAGCCATCACCCCATTGAGACCCTTAGCAAAGCGCACAAACTAAAGTCTCCTCTTTTTTATCGTTCTTGGTCTAAGGTTTTAGGTTTATAGCGGAAGATATGATCATCCCACCGATTTAAAAAATTTCAGTCTTTTGTTGACTGAAGTCATCTGAAACTGCAGTTTAAACCTGATGACTGATTCATGCCTGATCAAATTCATGGTTTCATTTTTGCTCTCATTTTTTTTTTTAAACGTGCAGTTCAATTATCAATAAGGGAAATAACTGGACGGACGAAGAAATGGAAATTTGGTTTAGGTGGGGGGAAAACACTCATTTTGATCGGACGAAGGGAAAAGTTTCAGAATCAACATCTATCAGGTATTTTCTAGAGATATCTACCCCCGCGACTTGCAAGACTTGCATATTTAAAATCAACAGAATTTAATTTCCTTTTTGACGATATGTTATGACTTTGAAGATGATTCTTAATTACAATGGTCTTCTTCGGATATAAATTGGTTATCTCATTACACATCGGTTGTGACTTCACGTCGTCTAAAGTTTCCTTTCCTTTACAGTTCAGGCTTCAGCGAGAGAAGGTGTCTCTGTTCAATATTCACCGACACACAGACATAGTTTGACGCTACTCTGGTTTGCAGATTTAATGAATGTAACCGAAGAAGATACGATTCATAGACCCAACGTTTCGACACTCCTGTCTAGTGCCTTCATCAGGGGACACATACGAACACATCACTGACACATACGAACTGCCATGAAACGCTTAAACTTAGATGCGTTTGAAAACATAGGAACACGGGAAGTGAACCGCCATAGGCCGAAAAGGGATTCGGAGAAAAGCCCCTCCCTAATTAAAATGGCAGAATCGGTACTTTATTCCCGCATCACATGACCTCGAATCATTGGGTTGGTCTGTCCATGATAAAAATGTGTCTCTTGAACAAATGCACACTATCGATAATTCCTGTAGATCTGTTATGACCAGAAGTTATTAAATACTATAACAACCCAACGATTCATTCTAGTTGGAACGATCATGACCTGCGCTTATTTGAAAGATTTATAGTTTCATTCACTTCCGGGAGAGTCCAAACAAACATTTCTCCATACGATACCAGTACAATACCAGGCAGAAAGGTCTTAAGAAATTTAAAAAAATTCATTTGAAAGATGCTGTCTTGATTTAAAACCAAATTCTCAAAGCTCATATTACGAGAAATGTATGAAAAACATCGCGGAGAATTAACATTTGGATCTTAGGGGTTAAAGGGTTGTCATTCCCAAACTTACTCGCTCTGGGATTTTCTTTATTAATTTCAAAGACCTTTATTTATATCTATGCAATTTAGTTGCGATGGTGATCGAAGATTTTGAGCAGACTTCAACTGGCTACCCCTGAAACAACAACAAAACCCACAGCAACAAACAAAAAAACTTGCATACCAATAGAAAAAAACAAACACTTTAAAAGACATTCACCTGTTTTTCAGCCCGTCAAATGACTGGCTGTGCAGTGGCACTAGCCACTCATTGCAATACTGCAGAGCTATGCTGCAGGTCTTAATAATTTCTGGAAGTTCGTGGGCTCCTTTCTTGAACAGCGGTTGAATATCGTAGCTAATTGGAACTCATTCTCTGTTACACAGGCAATATAATGTCGAATGTAACATAGTAACATCGATTTTTTAACATAGGGATTTGGTACAATATATGCCATATTGGACTGTCGTCAAGAACTCTGTTTCCGCTAATTTAGACAGAAAAAACCCCAAACCGCAACAAACTGTGACAACTTCCTAGATGCCTTAAAGAAGGATGAGAATTTAAGAGCAGGACGTGCCTTAATAATGCTCCATGCTGTGTCTGTAGATTATGGTAATACTAGCGACAAGCATCTCATTAAAAGAAATAAAATTCCAGTAGTCTTTCATCCTTTATCGACCACTTATATTCAAACGTGACTTGAAAAAATTAACCAAACGTCCACGGGTCAGATGGAAAAACCAGTCCTTAGTTGGTCTTCTTTGAGCGTGAGCCAGTGATGGCCTTCCACAAAACGTGAATGAGATCCGGATGTATTCGGGAAACGAATATTATTACTTTTGGTGGGCTTGAAAATCTCTTAATTTGACTAGCAGCCGTTATCAGGATTTGAAGTCAAAGGTTACACAGCCATCGTTTTGTAATGCAAATTAGAATGCAGACAAACACTGGAGTATGTTATTGAAATATCAGATTTCTATGTGGTTTGAGTTTGGACCTCGTTCAAGACATCTACGGCACGTACCTCAAAGTGAAGATTCAAACACGTACCTATGCATATAAATTTTTCCAGCAGTTCATAAGCAAGTCAAGAGTCGTCCATTTTTTTTTACAGGTGAGTATGTAGATATGTAGTTTTCCTTCGATCACGTAGACCTGCTTTCAATCGAACAATGAAATAGTTCTGCATTTTTGTCCTGTTGAGCTGAGCTGAAGCGGAAAATGGTTTTCGCGAGAGATATTGACGCTTTTTAATACAAGACAAGCAAAAAACTGGAGCAGGCATTCGTCGATTGAGTAAATACTCAGAGGTTTCTTCACAGCTTTGTAGTTTTTAAAACAAATGAACTGGAACCTCCAAAAATAATAGACATCGAATAAAAGCCTTAATCATCCATGAGGGTAACAACATGGCTGTTTGCCCCCTTCGATTTACCGCACAATTTGTCCAGTTTCACCTCTTTCTTCTCTGTTCAGTTATGGAATGAAATCAGCTCAGCTGTTCCTTTTTACTAGGTTCCTCAGTCAATCTTGGCCCTCACACAGAGAGAATAATCCTGAAAAAGACGGCAAGGAATGACTGATTCAGCCGACTGTGTCTATTTGACCCCTACAAGCGCGTTAACACGGTAGTATTTCGGTCAACCTTTTTATTGAAGTGGGAATATTGAATAATTGAGATCAGGAGTGTTTGATATTTGTTTTTATTTTTTTCGAGAATTGAACTTAACCACTCTTGATGACTTTTGTAAAGCTTGCGCCAGACTATAAACAGCTGATGGCAGATAAACGCACAATCAAAACAACGGATGTATTTACTGTTTCATATCATTAACGAGACTAAGGTTTGGGGTCCATCCGGTCCGCAAAGCCAAGGAAACACTTCGGTCGACGAACCTGACCAATAGTTAACCTGCGATCAGGTATTCTTTTTTCGCTTGATCGCAGGTTAACGAATGGTTTCCATAACTCAATGAATATTTGCTGTTTTGACAGTATATCGCTATTGTTAACAATTGTGTCAGTATGCGTCGATACTTCGATAATAATCCTAGAATTATTATTTTCCGAAAAAAGAAGCAAACTTAAATTATTATCATAGGAAGTCATAACAAATCAATGTGAAAGAACCATCCAGCAGATTGAGGAAGAGAAAAGGTTGTAAGGGAGATAATCCACAAACTTGAAAAATCACGGCCCGATTTGAAAATTTACTTTGTGGATTTGAATTACGATCATATTTCAATCCTGGACAAACTTTACGGAACATTCAGACCCATATTCCTAGAAAAATTACGAATTGACTTCATTGGTGGAAGAGGAAGTTAAATTGAGAGGGTGGGCGAGAGAGTGAGGAAGAATCTAGTCAACAATTGTGGTTTGTTTCAGTCTCTGAGCCTGACAGCAAATCAAATTTCCAATACGTTTTTATCAATCAAAAGAGCCTTCGATCCACCTTGGTTTAAAACAGAACCACTGTTTTCCACTCAAACTGATTCGATCATTCTTTATCATAACAATTTTCATGTCATCACAATTTTCTTACGTTAAGACTCTTTATAAATCTACTATCCTGTACTTAGTGTATAATAACTGAGTCACGACACACTTTTTTCGTATAAGCATCAGTAGCAGATCAGTCTATATCCAAGTCATTATTTACACTACTTCAAGTTAAATCTCTCGTATTATCATCACATTCATATTTTAACAATTAATCAGGCCACAATATTGTCTCTGTTCTGATGTAAAGTAATTTTTATTACAACATTATCGTAGAGATCTACTGAGGAAGTTATTCCTATATGCTCACACAAGTGGGTGTGAGTTAAGTGTGCTGTGACGACGACATGACAAATAAGTTTGCTGTTTAGATTATTTTTTTTCCCCGAATTAAAGTTAACGAGCCATTCATCAAACAATGATAAATTTCTGTCGTCGTCAGCACAATTAGCGAAATTAGATGTTGATTGTAGATTTGAGTCGCGCCATTAAACACGGATTGGCAAGCTTCACTCCAAGCGCTCAGTCACTCAGTTATAAATAGGTTTTGTGATTTTCCTTTGTCTCGCGAACTCTCACGCGAAATCCGCGAAAATTGAGTTTTTGGGATATCCGGTCCTGTGTACCTTTCGCGTCGAATGAGGGAAGCAGGGAAGCCCCATTTCCGGTTGTGTCTCCTTTGGCTGGTTGAATGGCAGGTGCTTGACCAATGAGAAAGCCATATGCGTCACGTGGGGTGTAAATTGTGCGTCACACAGCTGCCCGAAACCTCCGGATTCTTAGCGGATCCTAAACTGGTTAGTTTTTGTTTAGTGGGGAATCGAATATGTAGGGTTAGAAAAGCGAGGCTTCAAAATACGCTTACTTCCTCTCGAATTGTGTGAGGAGTCACCTCTTCCCTTCACCGCATAAGTGCTGGTTCTTCGCGTCTGGTTAATCTTCGCCTTTCGACAACTCAATTGTTGATGTTCTTTCGGAGAGTGGCGAAATCTCCTAATATATTGGGCACTACAGTTCCTGCCTTTTCCTATATTCTACGGAGATTTTTCGTGTTATGAGTCGACTTGAGACTGATCTGAGAAGCACTGGTCTTCATTCTAGGGGAATGTCGTCTGGGTAAGTTCCTCAGAGGGATTTGAGCTTTTATTTCGTTATGTGGTAGCAAGTAAATGTTCATCAAGATGGCGCATCGAAAAGACTCTAGTTTGTTGACGATGTTGTGGCAGAACCTCATCATGATTTTGTCTGGAAAACAAAATTTGTAGTCTAAGAAATCTCAGTTTTACAATGTGACCGAAGAAAGATAAAAGTTTTGGTGATCTGTCTATACAAAGGTTGAGTTCCATTCCGTGTTCATTTTGCCGCCCCCATAGGAGTTTATGCAAAAGGTCGAGCAAGCTTCCGTACTTTATTACTACTTCTTCTAAGTTTCTTCTGGCACATAATTATCGCAACGTTTTGTACAATAAGTAAGAGTAACAGGCCGATCTACGACCGCGTTTTTGTTTTTTAATTGTCCCAAGATCACGGCGTCATTTTACGGTTTCGAATTATGCCAAGGCATTGTCGTAATTCTCGACATTTGGAACGTCACGTCTTTGGAAATTATTCTCGTAAGTCGTTAAACTGATATGTTCTATTCTAAACAATGAGTACCGATCGCGGTATTGCTCACGATTTAAAGGGTTAAAGTCTTTTGTTTGTGGCATTTTCGCTCGCGATTTGAAGCAATTTATATTCTTTAGGCCTAATATCAATTCGAGACATTTTCCTTCGGGAGTTCATTTCATCGTCTGTAATTTCATATCGCAAGGTTACATAGATGGGGACAGGAGATTTTCTGGTTATTGATGAATTTCCAAGAGTTTACCTGATAATTTTTTTAAGCATTACACGAAGCCAAGTCTAGTTTAATATGTTTTTTTTCGGACTGTTCCCTTTTCTTTATTGCTTTATTGAGGTAATAACGATTTTGCCGTAGGAATTGATTCTAGTCTATTCGCACGTCCGTGATAAATAAACCAGGTACATTCGATCATTTTGCTCATTGTAAATCGTTTTTCCATTTTATTCGATGACTGCATATAACTAAGCAAATCCTAGGTCTTTTTTCAGTGATCTTATGCTTCATATTCTCGATTATATTAGAAAAAGGTCAAAAATAGATCAATCCCCTTTTCTAAGAATTCTTCTACTGTTTAAAGGGTTCGCTTTTTTGGCGTTTTTTTTTTTGTATAATTCGTCTTTAAAAAAAAAGACTGGCGACAGATGGCGTGGTATTCGAGTTACAAGACTTCAGACTTCCCACTAAAGTGTTCTTGGGATCTATAGTCGATATTTAGGTATGTACGAAATTTTGGAAACGGCTCCTAGATCAACGTGTGTGAACATTTGCTATGGTTCGTTCACTTTATTTATTGCATGCGGTGGCAGGAAATGTACGGCTTATTACTAGCTACAATCGATTCATAATCAATTATTCTAAACTTCCCGAGTTTGGGTATGGAATCTTTTCTTTCTGACAAATATACTGAAACCGCACTTAATCAGAAGTCAGCGTTACTTGAAAATCAACATCTGTATCATACCTGCCAAGATGAAATGTGTTCCATCGTGCAGTGTAAGAGTACTATATATTGAAAGACCTTGATGTTTAGGCTTCTAATACAGGATTTCCAGGTCAGACGGACGCGTGCCTTACACTGGCAATGCTAGTTTTATTGCTGAATCGTATGTTAGGGCAACCGAGAGATTCGGCTCATGTCATGTTGGAGCATAACTTTACACGGCTCTTTGTTTTGTTAACACCGATTTTAAGTAAACAACAGGACTTGCGTTGCATCTTTCCACAAATGATTTGCGTTTCATTGATTATTTGCTAGCAAGTAGTAGCGCTGTGTTGCGGGTAGTTTGCCTTATAAAGCTTGTCCAAACATTCACTTCTATCATCTTCATATTCGCTTCGCTTAGCTTTTTTTACTAGTTTCAAGGTGGTAATATTATTCAATATATTTACCACCGCCTCGGGGGACGTTAGTTATCAAACGAAATGCACCTTGTAAGGTCAGAAGATGATCACTTCTTCCGCTGCTATAGCCGTTGGTTTGCTGTAACATTTTGATAGGAGTTAAAAGTTTATTTGGAAACACCCACTTGCTCTGATCTGTTTCCGAACAATTGTTTTTGATTGAAAGAAGCTGTTATGTACATTTCTTTCTCTTAAAAATGTAGTTAAGTGTCTGTCATTTGTTATTCTTTCCTGTTCCCAACCATGTATGGTTGTGTTTTACTTAGTTTTATTTAAACCTCTTAATAGTTTGTCCAAACCCTTACAAGGATCATCCAAGGTTTCTAAATCTGTGTAAAGGGAATTTTCCTCATTGTTACAAAAACAACTCTGACCATCTTTGTAAGGTTTAGTCCTCTGTAGTTGGTCCTTAACTGTTTTATTGCCTTTATATTACCAAACACATTTATAAATGACATGCACACTTCAGGAATAATGTTGTTTCAGAATTTTTCCTTCAAGCCTGTAGCATCCTCAAGATTTATTGATGAGAGTATCAGTTATCTGTAAAGAAATTGTGCACAGTTGGTTGTCTTCATGTGAATATCTGTGTTGCCTTTTTTTTTTAGGATGTCAAACAATATTGTGTGAGGTGCACTTATGTCTTAAAAACCAGTTGTCATGCCGTCCTCCATGTGTTGCTAGCACAGTTGTTAATAATATTATGACTAAAGTATTAGTGTAATCAAAAAAATATTTTGAATTGTTGCAAAATGTTAATAAGTTCATGGAATGAACCATTGTGTCTCTTTGCATTGGTCCTTAGGTAATATTTTAAATGTCTTTCATCTGTCATTAAATGAAGTTTTTTTTTTTTTTTAAATAGAAGTTGCCTTTTGATTGTGCCAGTAAAGTGGCCAAAACTTGACCAATTGGGTATATTTGACACCAAAATAGAGACAGTAATTGCTGCTAAACAAGATTCTGATTTAGCTTTTTGATCTTCTGTTTTAATTATCTGTTTGTGGTGTAATTTGCTTTTGTTGGAAATCAGATTATTGCACAATCTTGTGCAGAATTCCGTCTATGCTGAACAATAACAAATACTTTACTTTGTACTATTTTGGCTTGGAGATCTACTAGGTGCAAAAATGAAGCCTTTTTGGATTATAAGATGTTGGTTTCTAAAATCTTATCTTTTAAAGTGTTCCTGATCTTTAGATTGAGACATCAAACATGGGAGAATTGTCCAGCTAAATTTCAATGGTTTAAGCCATTTTTTATTTAGACCTTGAGCTGTGCTTCACTTTTTTAGCTGAAATCTTGCTAGGCTGTACCTATCTTTGAAGAATTTGGTGGTTGCACCACCCTTCTGAAAGCAGGAAAAGTATCTACTTTCTTATCACTTTATTCCTTATAATGATATATCTTAATTCTACTAGTTTGATACAGGATCATTTAGTAAGCTAGTAACTAAAGTAATGAACTTATTCATCCATTTAAACTCAGGATTTTCATTAAAAAGCAGTCTTAACCCCTAAACTCCCAGAAATGATCAACATTAAACTTCTCCCTTCAATATCTATACCTTATCCAGCAAAAAGGTAATGAGAATACAAAAACTTATCAGGTAGAGTTTGTTGTCTTGATATAACAACAAATTCTCATAACTAGGTTATAATGAAATGTGTAGCAGCTGGAGGGGAGAATTAGCCATCAGATCTTGGGAATGAAAGGGTTAAAGACATTAAAGAAGTGGGATGCAGTTTGTTTGTTAGTTTGTATTTGTGTCAGTGTGATTGAAGATTCTCAAAAGACTGGTGCAATTTCTAGTGAACTTGAGGTACCGGTATTACAAATTATTTTTTGGAAATCCTTCAAATTGATTGCCCTTATTTTAAACAGTACCTATCTGCTCAAAAATAGTAATTTGAATTGCAGTTGAAATTTGACACTTCTGAATATGATAAATTTTGTAACTCTTTGCCAATCCTATCATAATGTTGTGATTTTTTTAGAGATTATTCCCAAAAAAAAATACTGCAATACACACCAGTTGTTCTTCAAGGGTTTGTCATTCCTTTTAAGTGAAGATTATTCCACGCTCTTTTCATGTTACCTGTCACTAATGGATCTAAATTTGACTAAACCTGTGTATCTGTTCCCAGGTTAGCTATTCATGAGAGGGAGAGAAAAGAGGCACAAAGAGAAAGGGCTAAATTACGGAGGTCAGCTTCGGTAAGTGAGGTTTTTTTGCTGTGTCCAAACATTTTGAAGAAATTTATTAGGAACACTCTAGAAACAGTGCTAGTCAACCGGTCCAGCACCTTCGTATAAATATGTCAGTTATGGTCACGATGTAAAGATATTTGCGAAGTCTGTATATAGGTTAATGGACTTTAGCTGTTATTTTGAGATTCTTCCCAATAAGTTTGTAAGCATGATAGTCAGATTTAGCCACATCAGAATCTGTTTGACAAAGCAGAAGCTTTCATATCCATTGAGGTTGCACTTTTGGAAGATGGACAGTCAGGAAACAAAGGAAATTATTCCATGTCTGGGCAGGATTTAAACTCTTTTTATGCAAGTGGTTCTTATGAATATTCTTTCCTTTGTTCAAGTGGTCACGTTTGACAATACTGTCTGATTTTTGTGGAAATACTCTCTTTACTGGGACTTAGTAATTTCATTGTAAATGATAAGAATTGCTGGAGGGATAGTCACATTTAGCCAAATGTTTAAATTTGTTTTGGTTAAATTTATGAGCTATGGAATCTAGACTCTTCGCTCTTTTTTTTCCTTCTTCAAGGAATTGATTACAGAAGTATTGTATATTATGACTAGATATCTTGCTAGCAAAGTAGCAAACAGGTGATTTTTGTAGCAAATATTTTTGTGAACTTATTTGAATTTGATATATGGTGAATCTCTTATTCTAATTTGGTAGCATGGTAGTTTAAATTTAGAATGATTTGTTTTTGTTTTCAAATGACAAAAGGCATCCGGCTTGTAACGCTCTAAATAGGGTCAACTTGCGTAATCTCCTAATTGGATCAGACAGGGATTTTTTTCTGGAAGTTTTAAAATGGAATACAGTGTAGTTATGAAAGATAGTTGCTTCCTTACAGTAAAATTAAATTGTTGCTTAAGATACAGATACAGGTAGCACTCTCCCTAAATACCCTTGCTGATAGTGAAGATATTATTTTGCTTGTTATGCAATCCACTAGGCTAACCAGAGATTAGTTCTGAATGTAGGTTGAAAGATGCACGTTATTTTTTTTTCCTGTTGGTTTAATTGTGTCATAATGCAATAAGATACTGAGGATTATGATGAATGAATGAAAAAAATGAATTTTTTATTTCTAAGAGAAATAGTAATTTTGAATCTGTTTTGACTCCTCAAGGTTCTCAGAAATTTTATAACCAGCTTTGCACTTTTAAAGAGCACTGTAAAGATTTTCAATAACCCTGGATAACTTGTGACTTATTGGTAACATAATCAACATTTACCATGACAATCATTATGTTATTACACTGTGTTTATGTTGCCTTTTCAGAACACTAGTGACCGCCCTTTATTTGCCGAACCTAGGAAGGTATGCAGAACAGTGATTAATTTATGAATGAGCATGTTCTGTAGTGTGAATTGTTTTGTTTTGATAGATTTTTTGTCTTTCTGAATGTGAAAGGCCTGTGTAGAGTCACTCTGTTCACAAATTGATTCACACCACTTCCCACTTTCCTAATTCTCGTCCAGATTCTATGTATGTTTGTACATGTGAGAGCCCTTTCTTGAAGACTGCAGGAAACCATCCAAAGCCAACTGCAGCAAAACTTGTATAATTTGTAACAGAAATCATACTGTTATTTATAGGATAAAACAGATCTTCCCATGTCCCTAAATCTGAACTATAACCAGAACAGATATGGAAAAATTTTTGCTCATGATCATGTGAGGGTACATGATATAGATAACCAACATCGCTTCATTTCCTTCAAGCTATGTAAATTGAACTCTGTTTTTTGCCTGAGTGGTGTTTTAGGGGAAAATGTATTTTGTCTTGCTTGTTGTTTTCATATAATTTTGATCCTTCTGTGGTTGCAAAGTTTGTGGAAAGAAAATGTCATTTTAGAAGTTTGATTCAAAGGTGTTTGATTGCTCTTAATCATGTGCCTCTTTTTGGAACTAAGAAAGTATAATTCATTTATTTGAAGGTTCAGCCATCAGGTCAGGACGCCCTTCAGCAAAAAATCCAGGTAACAAAAATTTTTATATTTTATTTTCAAGCTGAGTGTTTGTGATATTTGTAATGATGTGTTTGGTTAACTCCTTAACTCCTAAAATCTGCAACACATGTTTCATTTTAAATGAGGTACAAGAATTTGATGGTAGATCAAGATAACAACTTCTGCCTGATAAGTCTGAGTATTCCAATTACCAGTTTACTGAATTTTGTAAGGTAATATTTGGGAGAATTCACAGGTTAATCACTTTTGGGAGTTTAAAGGGTGTATGTTATTATTTTTTTTACCAACAGGCCACACTTGGAACTTATGACACCATTGCACCTGTTCTTCAACATCACAATCATTTGATTGGAATTCCAAGACTTCCACCAACACCTGTTGAAGGGCAGAAGTTTGTTTTTGATCGCCATAAAGGCAAAGATGCAAAATTGTCTCCCAAGAACCACAAACTCAATGGAGTCATAAATGGCACTGGACACTTGGCCACTAAATCTCCTCTTGTAAAGTCTAATAACACGATTGCTCCCACCAAGAACTCAACTCTAACACTTTCCAAATCTCCGACTCGTAGTAATGAAGCTATCGCCCCTAAAACAGCTGATACAAGGAAAGTTCCTTCAAATGTAAAGTCTCCAACTCCTAAGGAAGCAGCTGTATCGAAACAAAATAGTTCAAAGAAGACTTTAACACCTGTAAAGGAAGCCACGGCTATTAAAACAGCTGAATCAAAAAAGAGTTCATCTCAGTTAAAATCACCAACTCACAAAGACAGTACACCAACAAAATCAGCTGAGATGAAAAGGACTGAGATAAAGCCAGTTGTTAATGGCAACATTAAATCTCAGCAAAACTTTGAAAAAGAAAAGGATAAATTAGTCAGCAAAGTTAAAGGGATAAAGGACGAGAAAAGTCTTGCCGAGGACCTGAACAGTGATCAGCACAAAAGTCACAGCCAAAAGTCGAGTGCAGCCTTAAAGGGAAAACCTCCAAAAATCAAACTCTCCATGCCTGATAGGTAAGAGGGCAGCAAGCCTCAAGATTATTAACCCTTTACATCCTAGCATCAGTATGCATATTCTCCATACTGTTCTCTATACATTTCCTAATATGCTGGCAAGGAGAATTTGTTTAACAATTCAGAGGATCTTACGTTGACTATCATTTCCTTTATTCTCATGACCTTAATGTTTGATTCAGGGGTGGTATTGAAAGGAGAAATTAGATGCTAGTCACTCTCAGGGATTAAAGTGTTAACCCTCTACATCCTAACATCAGTATTGATATTCTTCATACTGTTCTCTACACAGTTTTTTGGTACTGACAAGGAAAATTCACTTTTAATTAACCATCAATGCTTCTTAGATGGGGAATCATTTCCTTTAATCTCAAGATTTTCATATATGATTCAGCTGTATTGTTGTAATGATGAATAAGATGCTTGCCACTCAAGGGGTTTAAACAGCATAACATAACATAGTGATGGCAAGAATGAAGAAAAACACTTTTAAAGAACATTCACAGATAAATGTATCCATTTTACACCACTAAGTTTTCCATCAAGTTGCAAAGAAAAACATTGAAGAAGTAACTTGAGAGAATTCTTCACAGATTAGGAAGAAGATGTCAGTGATTTTGTTTTGTATTCCATCAATCACAAGCATTGCAATTTCCTCAAATGTGATAGGTGCATCAGCTGCTTTATTTTTCTCTTATCATTCTGTACAGTTGTAATCTGACAGTGTAATACTAAGTTCACTCAGCCAAATCCACCAATCACTGAATTGAGCACAATAACCATAGCAACAACTAATGATCCTTAAAAAAAGCTGGGAAATTTCCAAAATAGAGGAATAACTATTTTAGACAGTCTCTTCTGGAGATGTTTGTCCAGAGATGTTTGTCTAGAGATGTTTGTCTGGAGATGTTTGTCTGAAGATATTTTTCTGAAGATGTTTGTCCTAAATGTTTGTCCTTATTGTTTTTCCTAATTATAACAAAACTTCACATTGTCCAATTCTGTCCATAATCATACTTGTAACTGATAAATCAGACTCCTGCTTTGCAGACATCTGATTTTGTTAATCACTCGTATGTGGACTCCACTCACTTCTATTATCATTATTAATCAGTCAGACCAAGGGTTAAAAGTTTTTGATTTTTCTTTAACCCTTTAATGCCCAAGATCTGATTGTTAAGTCTCCACCTTTGCCGCTACACATTTCCTTGAAATAAGTTAATATGAGAATTTCATGTTAGATTGAGATAATAACTTTTATCTGAGAAGTTTGAATATTCTCATTACCTATTTACAGGATAATGTTTGGATAGTTTAGGAAGAAGTTGCATTTTAATCACTTCTGGGAGTTAAATGGTTAACATAGAAAAATATGTGTGGTTCTTTATGTTAAGTATGAACAGTTTTCCCTGTGTTGATGTTTTTTAAAATTCTCAGCCCACCTGCACATGTTTTGTGTATTAATTAGTCGACAGGAGGCAGGGAAAGTATTGCTTCCCTTTGCCCATTTTTGTTTAGGTTATTTTTGTTGATTGCCTCTGGCTTCTTTTTTTTCCCCTTAGGAATCTACCTGTGTCTTCAGTCAAGGTATGACTGTTTATTTTGTATTTAACCTTGTCAGTCCTTGAGATAACTTCCCCAAGATCTCCTGCCACAATTTCAAATTTAATGCCATAATTTTGCCAAACTGTCAGTAAATGAGTATTTATTTCATGACCTGTAACCTTTAATGCCAACTTGATCAACTTTGAAGGATAAGGTTGGCAAACAGTCTAAAAATTACATGAAGTGTCTGATACAACTGTGGCTTGTGTTTTGCCTTTTTTTTTTTTTTTTTTTAATTTCACAATGCAAAAAACCTACAATGGTGTGCATGAACACGAACTGTTATTTTTGCTTGAGGAAGTCTTAGAACCATTGTTTATCTTCTGTAGGTGGTATTATTGTTGGTTGAATTACCAGTTTCATTCCTCCCACTCAAGAGTTCCAAATGAAACTGAAAGAGGGGTCTGATACAATGCACTACTGTTTCATTTAAATTTCCCCTTCAGAGTTAAAGCTTGTCCTTTTTATTTTGTCAGTGTTACATTTGGAACAGTAATGCTAACAAACTGTTGTGGATTGAGGGAAATATGCCTATATTTTTGCAATAAAACACTCTAGATTCTAATGGGGAAAAAATTTTGTTTTGGCTTCCTGTGATATGTGAGCTTCATCTCCTCTTATAACAGATGTTTGTTGTTCCATTTTAAATTCCATTTGTTTCCCTTTTTGTAGTAGTTCTACTATCAGAGCCATTTAATTGTGATAAATTGTGTTAGTAATTTCTGCAAATTTTTAGACAAAAATGTCTGATGTTGACGTGGGTGAGTGTGGTGATTTGCATAACGGATGTCTAAATATAACATTTGCTGATTTTAGAATCTACTTTACTACACTGGATGACAAACGAAGGCTGTTTCAACTAAACAAAAAAAAAATCCTTTTAGTCTAAATGAAAATAATGTGTGCCAGGTTTTTTATTTTTCCTGTGGTTGTGTTGTGATTTTAGCTTCCTTTGACTATCAGAAAAATATCTTTGTCAGAAAAATATCAAACCATCGTTTTAGAAGAAGACTGCTGTTTTTACTCTGGCCTCTAATGGGTTTTCTTGATCATAAATTTGATGGTTTGTTGATTTTAGCTTGGCCACACCCTCTTCTTCTTCTTAGTGCATCCAAATAATTTCAAGGCACAATTGCACAGATAGAGTCACTCAGTTGTATCATTTCTGTTTGTTTCTTTTGAATGCATATGTCTTTTTTAGCCTTTTATTAGATCTGTCTTTTTCAAACTTAAGCCAGTAATAAAGTCTTAAATTAATAATGCAGAAGGTAATTTCTTATTGAAGAGTCAGAAAGTCTAGGTATTGATTAAAAACTGTTGAGCAGCGGCATAAGTGTATTTTTCAAAAGTTTAATGTGCGAAAGAAACACATTTCAAACAAATGCTTGAAGGTTTTATTTTGGTCAATCAATACAAAGTTTGCACACAGCTTTCATTTAATAGGACTCCTGGCATATTAAAAAACTGAAACTGAAAACCTAAAATGCTTTTATTAATTATATCTGGTGCCTTCAGGATACATTCATGACAGGCAATTTCTATTAGACGAAAGGGAGATTCTCTAGATGGAATTAGAATTTTGTTGACACAATGATCTGAAGCAATAGTGATTCAGGCGTCATTTATTGAAAGGGCTGCAGGTGAACATTGTAGCCCTGAATGCAAAAAGTCCTTTCCTTCCTCCTTTTTTTGAAATAGTCTCTGGTACTTTCTCTTTTTATCATTTTCATTTTCCCCTTGGATTTTGTATTTTTCTGTTATCTAGGAAATGATTTTAGGATTCATTGTCTGTTGAGATATCCTTTAAAAACCTTTGCTCTTTTTTGGTAGTCTACAAACACTTAAAAATCAGCTGTTGTAAGGCAGATAACAGTGGCTCTGTGATCTAGATACTGTTTAAATTCTGTCAAATTTACTTCCTTTTCATTTATGTCTTCCTCCCTGATTTTAATGAAGAATTTTGTGCTCACTAAATTTCTTTTTTTTTTCATTTTCACAGAATTTAGGTGTTATTTTTGTAGTCAAGACCCCTTTCTTTGTCTCACCAGTTAGTGTTACTTTATGATCTGATCTTTCAACTCTATTTAATGGTTTGGGTGAATATTTTCTTCCTTTTACCCAACAGCAAGAAAATCTTTCCATGAGTGATCAGCCAACCAACGTGGAGAAGATTATTGAGGTAATATGTTTTGTTTTGTCTTACTCTACCTTACATTGTAAGTGGAACAAAACATGCTCCTTTAGAGCATCTTTTGAGAAGAGACATTTAAGAAGAGGTGATCATCAACCACAAACTCGTTAGTGACACCTAGATCGAGGTTAAAATTTTATGGTGATTGTGCTTTTTTCGGTCTGTGCCCGTAAACCTTGGAATAATCTTCCAGAGCATATAAAATGTAGTTTAAATCTTACATTTTCTAACAGCAACCTTAAAACTTATCTTTTTAAGTGCTATTTTAATTTGTAGTTTTGTTTTAGTATTTTTTGAATCTATTATTTACTAAGTTACTGCTTTAAACATTTTATTGTAAAGAGCCTTAGAGCTCTAGAATAGGGCGTTATAGAAATTTTTGTATTATTGTTATAATTATTATTAAGAAAGATTAATTCACTGTATTTTCTGTCCTTTGCATTCATACACAAGTTGGTAATCTCTGTTTGACTTCTTTGAATACCACATGCACTATGGAAGTTCTGTGTCTGATACTTTTGCCACAATGAAAATGATAGATCTCTTTTGGAGATGATAATTTCTGAAGGCAGTTTAGTTGAACGAAAGTGCTGTTGATATCTGTGTTTTCCTTTTCTCATGTGAAACATATAATTGGGAATGATGTTCCCAAATAGCAGGGAAATGGAATTTTTAATCCTGAATCAGAGGTAGAATAGAGCAGATGTTGTCAAAGATAGACATAAATTTCAAGGATAATGCTTATTAAACATATACATTAAGGTAACTTGAATGAATAATACAGAGTTTGTTTCAGTGGTGACTTTAAACTTAAGCTACTAGATTAGTGTAGTTGCTCCATTTTCTGATTGTAAATGGATGACATCAGTTTAAAGTTCAGAGTTTGTTGTAGAAGAAATGATCCACTGTATGCTGTATGCCTCATCTTTATTTATGGTCATTTTATATAAATGTACTCTTCATTTCACCCTCAGTCTACTTGAAGTAACAATTTTTAGACATCTACAACTGTCACTCTCCATTTGTTGTACATTTACCATCCCTCAATGTCGTGAGTGAAACCATGATTCAGTTGATCTGGCCATTTTGTAATTTTTAAATCCCCTTGTCTGTATTTGATTCATACTGTTTTGGTTTATTCTGTTGTTGCTGTTCATGGGAGAAAAAAAATGCATGTGTTCATAATTATTGTGCATAGTCTGCCTTAATTCAAACCTTAAAAATCTGCTAAATTACTCTTTCATTTTTGATAAGTAATATCATGAAATGTTTGTCTGAAAGAAGATTTAGTTTCCAGGGTGAAACCAAGGGGAAAAAAAAGTGGAAAAGACAGCTTGTAGAGTACTATTGTACCACAAACAAACTTTGATTAGAATAATTGACTTATATTAAGAGGATTATGCAACCCCTTCAGTGCTCAATGCTGAGACAATTGAGGAGAGAGTGGCAATTTTTTGAAAAGAAAAGGAAGGAACATTTACTTAATTGTAATGTATGTGAATGGTAATGTCTCTTTGATTCTTACCATGCATCTAATATCACTAAGTACTTGAAATATCTTCTTGCCAAACAGGCAACTTTTGCTACAAATTTAATGGCTTAAATTTTATTTCCTACTCACCATGGTGACATAAATAGAGGCCAGATTGCATATAACTACACACTTACCCCTTCCTCAACTCAACATTAACCCTGTTTCATGTTTTCAGTAGACTGCCTTTTTTTTTTCTTTTTTTTTTTTTTGGCTTAGGGGAGGGTTGGTGTGAAGTTGCTTTGACACTGACATTGATCCCATCATACATTCTCTGACCCAAAATGTTTGTTTATTCATTTATCTTTGTTTGTTTGTTTGTTTGATAGGAGATGCAGCAGGTGGCTCCACCGCTCACAGGAATCCACACACCAATCAAAGGAGGCAGCTCCATCTTTGCTTTTCATCATAATAGTATTCAGGAACATTCAGTGCTTCCAGCTTTAGCAACAAAGAGAAACACAAGTGGTAAGGGGGCTGAGGGTGCATTTGTTTAGTGTGTGCACTTCTGTTCTGTCAGTTTAGTTACCAATGCTTTCAGAGAATCTAAAACTTGAAGATGATAGGTGAAAAACCAAGTTGTAGTTTTCCCCTGTAGATTGATTGTTTGCTGAGTTAGTACTATTAAAGGCCAAAACAGAAAAAAAAATACAGTCGGAAAAATTGACCAGACAAATCTTGCAAGCTATGTTGGCAATAATAATTCAGCATTGTTTTCTGTGTGAGAAATGTTATTTCCTGAAGTGTATGATCATTTTTGCATCATTTTGATCCAAACTTCTTGTTTGTTGACAAATTGGGAAATGATTGCAAAAGAGCTCATGGAAAAGTTGTGATTTTGGTAAGGCATTAACCTCGTTGAAAGACAGCTAGGTGAATGTGCCTTTTTTTTTTTTACTGAGGTGGTCTCTGCTACAATATGAACCTCTTTAGCACAACTTTTATGCCTGTGACTTTTCCCTTTTACATTGCATTAAATAGAAAGCATTGAAGGCAAGAAAGAAAGTGGGAATGATGTGGTTTTGTTGGATGATGATCTAGTCCTGACTGATGACAGTGATGATGAACATGTAAGTTTTTGTGTTTCCTGTTGTTATCTTTTGTCAACCCTGCAACTTCCTTGTGTGACAAAGAAAGAATTCCTCCCCACATCATTAACACAAAATCAGGTGATGAGAGTAAAAAAGGATAAGCACAAGGGAATTATAAGATCTAAAATCAAATTCTCTGAACTAAGGAGAATTACTAGTGACATCTCGGTACTGGAAGGGTTTAAGGACAATCTGGGCCATATGCAGTTAATCACAAGGGTTGAAAATAATCTTTATTCAGCAATAAATCTTAAACTCATCTGTATGAAATTATGTTAATTATTGTTGTGCTGGTTTCTCCCACAGGAACACCCAGTTACAAGTACGTCACCCTCCAAGGATGACAAGTGAGTACTGCATTTTTTGATAGACATGCTGAAGTTTAACCCTTTGATTGTAAGAGTGACCAACATCTAATTTCTCCTAATAATATCACCCCTGATTCAAACACCAAGGTCACAAGAATACAAGAAATGATCACCAACTTGAGAAGCTTTTGATTGTGAAACACATTCTCCTTGTCAGCACCTTAGGAAACTTATAAAGAACAGTAGGGAGAATATGCACACTGATGTTAGGGTGGAAAGGGTTAAGAAATGTGGCTAACTGTAATGTTGTGGGAATGAAACAAAGGAAAACATCTGTTCTCTACAGGAATAAGCCTGTCTTATCTGGTTATATCAGGATCCTGTGTCTGTCAACAAGTAGATCCCATAATGCCATGCTTCTGTTCAGTAAATGATCCCAGATGATGTGAAAATGTGGTAAGAACCAAAAAGGTCCTGCCACATTTTGAGGTCCCGTGTGATCTGTTACTGTACAGACCCACAGCAACATTGAAACTTTTTGTTTTGTATGAGGTGTGTGTTCACTTTCATCCACTTATGTTGCAATGCTCTTAATAGGACTACTCGTCATCGTTCCCATTCAACATCATCTAGTGGAAGTAGTAGTGAGGACAGCGACTCAGACAGCAGCGATAGTGATAGTGATAGTGATTCTGACTCAAACAACAATACTAAAGACAAAGACAAATCAGGGAAATCTCCTGTTCATGAACCATCATCCTCTCCAAAGGTAAGCTAAGGAGAACACTACAGCCTGTACCAAATTGTTTAAAAGCATATAATCATCTAGAGGCTCATAATAGGAAAAAGTATACTGAAAAACACACTGTTAACCCTTAAATTTCCAGAAGTGATACACGCTGTTAACCCTTAAATTCCCAGAAGTGATAAACTTGTGACTTCTCTCAATGATTTCTTTTTGCTATCCAGCAAACAGGTGATAAGAATACTGAAACTTATCAGCTGGAAGTTGTCGTCTTGATCTAACACCAAATTTTTGTAACTTATGCACAAGAAAATGTGTTGCAGATAGAGCAGAGAATTAAAAATCAAATCTTGGGAGTCAAAGTGTTAAAATGTGGTGGTTTACCGTTGTTGTTGTTGTTGTTACACATCACAATTGCTAGATCAAATATTTTTTCTAAAGGAAAAATGCCTATTGGGCTAAAGTAGTGGCCTCCTTCACCTTCCAATGTGGCTTGAACTCCACATTGGGAATGGTGAAGTTGATTATCTTTTTTTCACTAACTGTCCTAAACAATTAAGTTTGTTTCTTTTCAGCATACAAGTGGACGAAACTGGGGTCTAAACCACTTTGCCAATGCACTCAATCAATCATCACCATCGCAAACCACAAAGACAAAACCAAGTCCATCAGCCGCAAACACAGTTGGGGGAGACGGTGTTCGTGGAAACCAAGTTGCTCCTGCTGCAAATAAGAGCTGTCTTAACTCTCATGTTGCAAAAAGCCCTGTGGCTCCTGTATCTGAGGAGAGCTTTTTACCATTTGCTGAAGGCCTTCCTGACCTCAGCCCAGACCTAAACCGTGGAGTGGACATTGAGTCATTAACAGCCAAGCTTGATCTTCCACTTCCAACAGACTTGAGTGTAGACTCTGCTGAACCTGTAAGTACTGTCCCTGTTGAGAATAATGTCACAAATGTGAAGACACAACAACCTAAGGATGACAAGAAGGTGAAAAGGAGATCTTCAAATGTGGAGTCCAAGCTGAACACAAGTCAGGAGAAAGTTCTCACCAAAAATTCCCCAAAGAAACCCATTAAGTCCAAACAAACAGACTCTTTAAAGAATTCTACCTATCTCAAAGTTAGCAATCCTGGTTCTGACGATGTTGTTAAAAAGGCTACAAAGACAACAAAAACACCAAATGGAATGGTCACCAAAAAATCATTCAAAAAGAAATCAGAAACCAAAGGTGTTAGTAAAACTGTTGTTAGCAACGAGCCTGTGAAGGAGACCAGTGAGGTTGATGAAGAAGATGTATTTGTGGATATTGTTAGCGTTGAGCCTAGTCCGGGAATCGACAATAAAAAGGTGGAAGCTAAACAAACAACGAAATCAAAAGAGACTGAAAATCCGAAAGGAGTAAAAAAGAAACCTGTGACAACAAATGGCCTTAGTAAACATGTAAACGGAGATGGACTGTTATCTAGTTTGATATCAACAAATGGAAATAGGGATATTTTGGGAAAGAATGTTGAAATCACATATGATGAAGTCAACAAGCCAGAGTCCCTTATAGTAAAAATTGACTTGTCACTCCTCAAAAGGATACCGCGGCTTCCAAGTAATGATCAGCCCAAACATTCAGTCTCACCGCCCAAGGTTGAAACCAATGGCAGCAGAGATGGCATAAGTTCCCCAGAAGTGAAGATTCGTAAGCGGAAATTATCAGAAGCAAAGTCAATAGAACAGGACGTTTCCAAGAAAGTAAAAAATAAAAGTGATGTGGATTCTAATAGGTAAGAGGAATTTGATGACTGTTTAAAGCAGTGCAGGGTTTGTGTGATTTGGTTGGGAAATAATTTCTACAATACCACATCTTTCAACGTTTTTGTTACATTGTTTTGGTTGAAAGATAAAAAAAGATGAAGGATATGGCTTTCATTTAAAAGGCAGTTTTCACCTGATGTAAAAGTGAATGTTTTGAACCTGCAGAACAAAGCCTCACGAGCAATCACTGACTTCAAGCAGTAACAACTCTCACCCTTCAAAGGATGGCATGCGGAAGCGAAGTCCAAGCCAGGAAAAGGATACTCATCGTATTAAGCGTCAGAGACAAGACAATGAAAACAGCATAGATCACAATTCTTTATCCAGTTTTCAGAATGGCTCTGTCAATGAAAATGGAATGGATGAAGTGGGTAATGGTGTAATTCCTCACACATGCTTGTGCAACAAAACCAGTGATGCTGAGAAGAAGAGAGAAACAGACATTGCAAGATTTTATGATGCAGAACCCAAAGTGTAAGTTTTAGGTTCATCTCTTTTAACCAGTTGCCTAACAGTTACAGCAAGTAGCACATAAGAGTAAACCTTAAACTCCAATTAGTGACCAAGTCAGAATTTCTCCTTACAACATCAGTACAATATCGAGCAGACAGGTGAGGAGATTAAGGAAAAATGTCAATTATATGATCTTTAGTTGTCCCAACACCAAATTCTTGGAGCTACATGTAAGATCAAAAGAATTATATGGCATGGCAGACTGTAAGGACAAACAACAGTGAGATTTTGAGCGAGAAAGGATTAAGATCTTTCAAAGAAGTGTTTACGATAATATGAGGGAAAAAGTCATTTCAATACCAGTAAATGTTTGGACATTGTTTAAATGAAAATGTTTGGAGTCACAAGAATGTTTTCTGTTTCTTGGTGAATCCTAATGAGTCCTGATGAGGTTACAACGGTACCAAAGATTATTCATCAATTTTCAGACCCTACGGGCCAGACCACTACCTTGGGGAAGCCAAGAGACTCAAACACAAAGCTGATTCCTCTGTAAGTTTAAAAAAAAAGTTTGAGACATTTTTGATGAAGCTTTAAAAATGTGCTGATGTTAACTTACATTGTTTTGTAGACTGACAAGGATGCTAAAGCCTACTTGTATGTTGAAGCTGTGTTAAACTTTGCAAGATGCGGAAAAGCTATTGAGGTTTGTTTCATTTTAACTTAATATATATTTTGACATTTTTTCACCATTGAATGCCTCAGTCAGTGTTTCAATTTGTCTGTCTTCCTGCACTAGCTAATTCAAGTTTGATATTTTCTTGATTATCTCAGCAAAATGAAGAGTCAGAATCACGTTCAGCATTTCAAATGTACTCTGAGACGCTGGATCTTCTCAGGTAACTAGATACTACATTTCACAGAGATCTTTATGTTAAAATGTGGGGTGACATTTTAGGGAGAAATTATATGCTAGTCACTCTTAGGGTTGAAGGATTAAGATAAGTTAACCCTTTATAACTCCCAGAGGTGATTAACATGTAACCTCTCCTTGTAATAACCATACTTTATCCAGCAAACAGGTAATGAGAATTTTAAAACTTATCAGGTAGAAGTTGTCTTGATCTAACACCAAGTTCTTGAAACTAATTTACAAGGAAATTTGTGGTGGCTAGAAGGGAGGATAATTACATCTTGGTAGTTAAAGGCTGTCAATACTGAATGGAAAAATGCTCAAAGAGGGTTTGATTCCCGTAAGTTATTTCATTAAAATTCTATTCAGGAGAAATTTTTTCACTTTTTCAGATACACAATGCGTAACTTTGTCAACCGATACACTCACAGATCAGACAGGGTTCCTGATAAAAGACTTTCTGTTTTATGGTAAGGCCTTAAACTATTTGATCTCAATCAGTTAGATTTTAATTTATCTTTGCCTTGTTATGACTTCCAAGAAATCCTTTAAATTTTGTTGATTATGGAAGTGGCAGTGTATCATCCTTCTAAATGTTTATGTTACAATGGATATGCAGTAAATGGTTTGAACACGGGGATAACATGCGATATTACAGTCTGATTGTCTGGGTGAGTGTAGTCCTGAGAAGGATTGTTGTCAGTAGTGGTGACTGTTGTTTTTCGACAACCTGAGCAAAGTCATTATCAGAGTCACACAATGGTTATGTTTATAGCTGGTATAAATTAGTGTTTTATTTCTATCTCTGATTTAGCATGAGAATTCAATCCCTTTTGTACATGAGGCTCTACAAATTAAGAAAGGATGGTGTTATGAAAAATGTGAAGGTAATGTTGTACCTGTTACTTATTCTGTTGTTCTTATGTTTTAAATTTCGAAGATTTTTCTTTTACTCTTAGTCAGAACAGTCAGAGATGTGTCAGCCCAATAGTTTGTGTGCTGGACTCTGGGTTGAGAGGTCTGGGTTCAAGACCAGGCTGGGTCATTTTGTTATGTTCTTGGGCAAAACACTTTACTCTCACCATGCCCCTCTCCATCCAGGAGTAGAAATGGGTAATGGGGAATTGTCAGGGAAGCCTGATGGAATGCTGGGTGGTAATGTTGTGATGGAATGGCATCCCATTCAGGGGGGGGGAGTGGTAATACTCCTAATTGCATTATGCTATAGAACCTGGGATAAGTTGTGGCTGGATGGGGTACTAAGCTCTAGGATAGACTTGAACCTGTTCGATGTTAGTGGGAGTAACTGTTTCAGGGCAATGTTACTGACTTGTGTCTAATAAAAAAAAACTTTGTTTTATCACTTTACAGATGGTCACTGAACATTTTAGGGTAAGTGATAGAATCAGTTCAAACTTCATTACCACATGTTTTAAGTTGAACCAGTCTCGTGTGCTGTGGTTAAAGCAATATATGCTTAACTCAATTTATTAGTAGCAAACAATCCTATTAGATATTTAAGATAATATAAAATACAGTATTAGAGCAATTAAATTAAGAACCTCCCAGAAACTAATTCAGCCAGAAGTCAGAGTAGTTATGGAACAGAGGACTGCCAGATTTTGAGCCCAATGTGCTGAACTGAATGCTTGAAGAAGGCTCTGGTCTTGGAAATTTTGTTTGCCAGGCTCAAGAAAGGTTTCTTGACCCTTTCACTCCCAGGAGTGACCCACAGTAAGTTATTTCTCCACACAATTGCATTGCATTGCATTGGCAACCAGAAAGTTGAGGTGAAGAAAGACGTCACCTCGGAGAATTGTTTGGTTGAGTGCTAAATTTTAGGACATTTGTGGCTGAATGTGGGGAGAATATAACATGTGGATCTTTGGAATGAAAGGGTTAAGAATAAAGTCATCTAAGTTGCTCAGAGACAAATGTTGTTGCCCGTTGCACTTGGGCTCTCTTGGAGCTGTCCTTTATACTTGTACTTTAACCCTTTAAGTCCCTCTAGTGACCAAGAAAGAATTTCTCCTCACACTATCAATACAATATCAAGCAGACAAGTAATGCGAATAAAGAAAAACACTAATTAGGGGATTATTTGTTGATCCAATTCCAAATTCTCCAAACTAACAACACATGAATTGTATAGGAGACAGTAAGGAGAATTACTAATGAGATCTTGGGAGTTAAAGGGTTAATAGTGTGTAGTGTGATATTGATCCTTCTACAAGCTGCCATTGCTCTTTTTGTTTCAAAGGAGTATTATCTTCTTAAACTAAAATTTTTTGTGTTGGCTTTTTGAACAGGGTCCTCCGAAAAGCACTCAAGCTCCCTCACCTTATACATCAAACACAAAGTAAGCTACCCTTCTGCTGCAAATACTGTAAAAATTCACTGAAGTGTTGAAGTAAATTCTGCTTGAGTCTTAATTTATTTCACTCTGAGATAATTAGAGTTGATGTGTATTCCTTAGATACAGCAACTAATAGTCAAAGGAAAACTAGTTTTAATTTCAATGTCTTTTTTTGTTGTACTTGAAACTGGTTGGATGTTCATTCATTTTCTTTTTTTCCGTCCTCTTTGTATTATTACAACTTCTTTGTTAAAAAAAAAAAATTGTTTTATATGATAATCTAGTGTAATAAACAAGGTTGATAAATGTAAATCGGCTATCGCAAATATTTTCTAAAGCTGAAATACTAAGTGTGAGCTCTTGGTCAGATTGAAGTTTTGTGTTGTTGGATTTGCCTTCTTTTTTGGGGGGGGGGAGTGGCTTTTTGTTTTGCGCATTTGTTTTGTTGTGTTTGGTTGATTTTTATTGGAGCATTCTGTGGTTATTTCTGTAGGACAACTGGCACCCCATCACCCATGTCACCCACACCATCTCCATCTGGAAGTGTTGGCAGTGTAGGAAGCAGTGGCAGCAACGAAACAATGACCACACCTTCTCGAAATGGTAAACCCTCCACTGGGTCTAATGCAATGACATCGCCTGTCAACGTGTGCATGCCACAGAAGATTCACTCCTTGACACAGCAGCAAATTCTTGTGGTTAACAACTTGGTTTACAGTCAAGATTTGTGGGACCAAGCTCAACCTCTTGTGCTTGAATTTAGAGGTGAAATGACAAAAATCAGTGCCATTCTTTTCTCAACTTGGAAAAAAATTAGGAAAAGGCTGACCAGTGATTATTTGAACAAAAAGAGGTGCATCAGGCTTTATTTACTCTGAAATAATAGTCTTCAATTCCCTCATCAAGCTTTTCACCTGTTCTTCTGTATCATGGGCTTGGTTTCTTCCCAAAATTTGCATCAGGCAGAAACAGTGTTTGACTGAAAGGCTTAGAAGTGATTGAGTCAGTGCATGACAAGTGTCACTTGCAGCATAAACCCTAACCCCACATGGAAAATTGATGGTGATATTTATGGGTGAAGTTTATTCCCTTCCCTTTGTTTAGCTGATGTAAATTTCTTTTGTCTGACAGATTTCTTTATGGATCTGGATCGCAACTGTGGACCTCTTACTCTTCACAGGTATTGTGGCATGAAGTGGTTCATTAGAGTGCTTTGCAATTAAGTTTTGTAGAAGCAAATGCAAAGTACTACTGATCACAACAGCTAGTTGAAAATACTTTTCAGAGCCAATGAGAACTCAAAGAAAAAAAAACAACAACCAAAGTGCTTTGAAGCCTAGGAAAATGTGGGCAACCAAGTCATGATTGATTTTAGTTTTGCATCTGATTGGTTGAGAAAGTGGTGCAAGTTTTCTGGACCAATCACAGAGCAAAGTAAAGCAAAACAAAGGAAAGGAGAATTTATGTGACAATCAGCAGCATTTTAAATTGATGATCATTTACTTCACTTTTATGATCTTTATATTTGATTCAAGGGTGATACTGCAAAGAGAAATTAGAAGCCACTCACTCTTAGGGTTAAAAGCATTTGACATTTGATGTACTGTTTTGTTTTGTAGTTCTATTGTCCATTTGTGTGGGTACATTCAAGAGGGACTGAGGAGACTTCAGGAATCACTGCAATCAGAGAAGGCTTCTAATTGCAAAGCTGTGGGTGATTGAGTGAAGAGATCCATTGTAAATTATCTTTAAAACCACAGAACGGCATGGAATTTTGGACATACAGTGTACTCACTCATGCAATGAACCGAGGTACAGCTCCATCTCAATAAACATAGGGTAGATATTTGAAGGCGTAGCTAATTTACTAATAATGAGGTATATTAAGAAATCAAATGCTTGGGCAAGCTCTACACAATCTGTTGATGTTTTGTCTGCAAGAGAAATTATTGATAAACATTATAGCACCCAGTGGGAAGTATGGTAATAGTGCTGCACTATATTAAGAATATTTGGCATCAGTTGTTTCTCAGAGAAGTGAATAAAGTAAGAGTATTATTCCTTGTAATTTGGTATATTTTGTAGAATACATGCAATATTTTTTCATATGGAATTGATAAATACAAATGAACAAGAAAACAAGCAAACAGAGTATATTGTTATCTCAGTAAGCAGGTCAGTCAGAAGAAAACCTCCTGTTCTTCAGTAAACATGTGATGTTTTTGTGAGGATCTTGGTGGTGTAGAATCAACCCATTCTAGTTGGAAAGGCAGGAATCTTTAGACTTCTTGTCAAAATTATAAAAAGTATGAAATGTGAATGGTGAAATTGTAAACTTTGCTACAGCAAAGTTGAAGATTATGGGACAAAGCAACATTCTGATTGGAAGCTTTACCACAGCCACACATTTATGAGTTTCCCTTCTGTCAAATGTGGAAAGAGATTTTGAATGATGATGGGTTATTAACCCTTTAACTCCCATAAGTGACCAAGACAGAATTTCTCCTTACAATATCACTGCAATATCAAGCAGACATGTGTTGAGAATTAAAAAAAAAAAACACTGAGGGGATTAGTAGATGATCCAATACCAAATTCTCCAAACTAACATCACAAGAACTACATGTATATGGCAGATAGCAAGGAAAATTACTAATGAGCTAGTGGGAGTTAAAGGGTTTGCTTTCTATGCTTTACCAAGATCTTTGCAATATCTCCAAAGAGTTTTTCGTAAAACATATTTTGTGCAGCAGAATTTATGTGGAGTCTAAAAAACTTAGTTTCCTCAGTTGTCAAAGATGAGACAACTGGTTTTTATTCACTTTGGTCAGAGCAAGGCTGCATCTTAAACATCCTCTCATTTTTGGGTTTTTCACCCTCTTCTGTCTGAAGGTGTGCTTTAATTAAAGCCCCCTCTTCCGACAAACATAATCAATTTTCATGAAAAGAAATTAGCCCTATGAAGTCACCTGTCACCTTTTTTTTTTTCATTCTTTCACCTACCTTGGCCAACCTTCATTAGTGAGCATTTAGCTTTCCTGCTTGAAGAATAGGGCCATTAGACTAAAAACAAAAACAAAAAAAAAAACCACGCACACACACACTACTTTTGCGTTGCACAATTGAAGCTTTTAAAGCTTGTTTTAAATGTTAGTTTTCTAGGATACTAAGGAGGCAAAGGTTTTGATTTGCAAACTGTGAACAGTTTGCTTTAAAATAAAATGTAGTTGATGTTGTCGTAAAATGTTTCACCAATAACTGGAATGACCATCATATTCTCTGAATCCCTTTACAAAAAAAGTTGTTTATGAATTCTCAGTTCAGACCTCCTCTTTTTGTTGTTGTTTTTTCCTTGTTTACACGTTAACAGAAAATTTATAGGGATTAATGTTTAAGCTGCAGCTGGCTCAATGAATTTCTTAGCAGATGTTCTTTTGACGTGTCCTTTAAATCTTGACCATTTAAAAGGTCGTCTGTTAAGGAGGCGTCTCTTATTTTGCCCACGAAGGTTAGTTTTGTAAGCTCCCTCCTGATTGGGTCTCTCTGTTGCCCGTGTTTGGAAATGTATGTCACATGATCATAAGCTATGATGTGAAGATTAATTGTAGAGCAGATCGCAATCAAGGTTATAACTGCACTATTTTGAAACTGCTAATATTCGACTCTAATTCATCACAGATTATATCATTTGTAGTAGGAGTATTATTGAATCGTGTACAGGTCTTTATTTTAGTATACCACTAAACAAATTTAGGAAAGAAATTGGAACGAGGATTCATAGAAGATTTTTTGATTTCAAAATATTTTTCCGGGATGTTTTCCATTTATTTTGGGGATTACGTTTCTTTGAATAGGATATTTAAATCTTGGGAAGGTATTTAACCGTTAAAAGTTCTTATAAAGATTCACACTTTAAAATTACAAAATTTTGTACGTTATTGATGCCAACTCTGGTAGGGGGCTTATTTTATGAGTTGGGAGGGGAGGGTTGGTAAGTGATGGTGCTTAGTAGGGGCTTCGCATTATGGATATTATCTTCACAGCTTTTCTTGATATAAGTAGAGATCATAAAGTCATTGGATAAACAAACAATAGAGTATTTCTGGTATTTTTCGGAAGTGAAACTTTTTTACGACGGTAATTTTTACTCGTATTGTTTTTCTCGCGTTTTTAGGGGCTCTTTGTTTGTTGTTTGCGGTAATTTCATATTAAGATCATTTTCGTACCGTTTAAGTATTTAGTAATGTTTGTTTGTTAAGGCACTAGTTAGGCATTTTGAGCCCATTTTGTAGTCTTTAACCTTAAGAATTATTCATGCAAAGCTGTGAAGAATCGTCCTTTTCAGTACTTTTTTTTTTTCTAAAAATGGGAGTAAGTTATTATAGGTTAAGTGTTTGGATCACACTGACAAACAATATTTCATTTTCGTGTCGACTCTTGACACAATTTATTGGTCAGCTAAAAGGAGTGGACCCGCTTTGTACAGCATAAATTTTAAGGTCTCATCAAACGAGCTTCTCTATATCGAAAAGTTTTTTCGAGAGTGGAAAATTCATGCAATTGGAGAATTGAATTGACGTGCCGTTAATTGTGGAAAATAGTTTAAATCTTGTTATCAAGAGGAGTCCTCTTGATACTGTCTCAAAGAAAGCTTTATGTGTTTGGTTGAAAACAAAACGAAGTATTGTTTGTGTTCTAGTTTTGTTTTCTTCAAATGTGAAGTTGTTCCACAGTTAACTGTATGTCTGTAGATTCTCTTGAACAGTAGATAATCTTTGTAAGTTGTACTTTCATCCTTCTGTCTGTCTGTGAACTGAGGTAATAAAATTATGGCATACTGTGTTTAATCTTGTCTTACTTGATCGTTAGACCTCACTTATTAAAGCATCACACCTTAACATTATGCATATTCTCTATCCTGTACACTCTGCATTTCCTGTGGTACTGGCGAGGAGAGTTTGGTAAACAATTAAGAGCTTCTTCTACTAGTGATACAGTAACGAGAAATTACATGCTCGTCACTCTAGGGGGTAAAGTTTAAACTGCTCCTTCGAAGCTTTAATTCGCATGTTAATTGCCCAGGTGAACCGTCTATGCCTTTCTCGCCCCCTTCCGTGGACACTCCGACGCTGAAGGGAAACGGGGGGCATAGGTTCACTCTTCGAAGGGAAATAATTTCCCTAATCTACGGAGGTCTCAAAGGTTAATCCCTGTCCCCCTCCCACGATGTTACGTTCTCTTACATCCCCCCCCCTCCCCCTTGCGCCTGCCTACATCGTCATACGTGGCTGTCTTCGTCTCTTTAGTCGGTTTTAAAAGTGGATGATCCGGGAGAGGCTTAACTACGCATGCCAGCGTCTATCATTTCTTTTAATGATCTTTTCAGACGATTCTTACTGTTACAAGGCATACTTCAATTGTAAACAAAGTTTTTTGTTTCCTCTTTGTGACGTCATGCTTTGTATTCGCTGGCTCCCTGGTGATGCCTGATTGAAACCAGATATCGCCTCAGTAGCGCGAAAGTTCAGAAACCAAAACACGAGAAATACTAGGTCAATCGAGTGCGCTTTTGTTCTTAAAATTCCCCATAATGTTAAAGAAAGGAAGCAGTGATGCATCTGGTAAGGCCAAAAAATCTACGAGCAGCTTCGATGCTTCGAACGGTGTCAAAAATGCTGGTAATGATGCCATCTCGAATGTACGGATAAGTCAGAGCGAGAGTACGGTCAGTGCGCGAAAAAAGAGGGATACATTCAGTTACTTCATCTACGAAAAGGCTGGGGAGATTTATCGACATCTTAAGGGTCAAATTCCTTCTTCACAGCTTCCAACATTTGATGAGGATCTGGAGCGAAGGCGAGCGTACAGCTTGGCTTTCGGCGCAAAGCGATGTAAGTCACGTAGTCATGGTTAACACTTCTAAGGTCCTCGGCAGGTATAATTATACAAAGTATGGGATTCTTGTGGTTTCTTTTGTACTGTAATTAATGAAGGTTAGCGAGTTATTGAATATTATTCGGTTGCCGTTACAACGGGATCGCGTAATTCTTTGCCTGTCGTTCAGCAACGATGGTGATACCTTAGAAACTGCCTTGAAAGATTAAAAAAAAATACCTTTGTAACTTGGTTTCAAACAGCAAAACAAGAGATGTGGTCTTTTTTAATTCTTAGAATAGAGGAAGAAATGATTGGGTCTTTTAAAGACTATGATGCTGAGTCTCTATAATCAAGCATTAGAAGATTGAAATATTCTATAAAATTATACAAACACAAAGCTTTACTTTTTTTCTCCTCTCTTCTTTTCCTGCTTGTATTGGACACTGAACAAACACCCAGCTTTTGTTTGATTTTAACGAAACAAAAGACTGTTCTATTGTTTTATTCAGTCGACCGCAATTTTTTCATCTGGGTAGTTTGCATGCTTTCTCTTTCACCCAAAATTTACCAAGAATTTTTTAGCACGAGAGAGAAAAAATTTTGTCCAAAATGTAAATCCGCAAAATGTGTTGTTTAAATTTGAACCGGTTTGCATGCATTATTAAAATTGTCTCCTGATGTGTAAATAGCTTCTCTATGTTTTTTAATCATCACCAAAGCCGATTTCTAAATGTATTTTCTTTTTTTTAATCTATAGATGAGACAGTTTTAGATGATGTGTTGTTGGATAGTTACTTTTTTTCAAGTTATTTCAAGGTAAGACTGCTTTTTTATGTTGTAAATTTTTCTGCCCATTTTTTCAGATTTGTGGAACAAAGTAAAATAAAATTTGCTCTTCTTGACAGCATTTAAAATTTTAATAGCAAATTTTCAGAAAATGCAGGAGTTTTTAATTTTGAACATCTCAACTGAAGGTGTTTGTTCCTTGACAGAACTAATCCAAATTAGAGGAAGCTTAAAGGATTAATTTGCATTTTAATATAGTACTCATGGAAAATTTTTGGTGCGACCTTATTCTGAAAGGGATGTAGCCAGGAAGTTAATCTGATTGTAAGATATAAATTAATTTTTCTTGCATTCTATCCCAAATGCTGCAATCTGAATGGTTATGCTTCTCATTATCTATTTCATCAAAAGTAGAAGGAGTAAAGTGTTTGCTGTAAACTGCGGCTTGTAAGCCCTGGGCTTAAAGGGTTTTTAGGGGGCTTATGAAATGGAGGGGATTATATAACTGGAAAATAAAAATGGCTTCAAAACAAGTTATAGTTGTGGTGCTGATCAAAATATGTTCTGCATTTATTGGTTTTTAATAAGCCTCTAAATGTTGTAAGAAATCAAGTTCCTATCTCTCAAAACAAGAAAAGCTAGGGGGGTTCATATGTCCAGGAAGGGAGGGGGTGTGGGGCTTTTAACCAGCTGTTTATTGTAGTCTAACATTATGCGGTTGTAAACAAAATGAAATAGAAACATGAGCCTGCCATGTTGCTAAATAAGGCAAAACTATTAGATTATTCACTTTTCATTTCTATGCAGGATAGCTGATATGGGCTATGCCCATAACTACTTTTATCAGGCAACAAAAATTTTGAGTTCATAATCAAACTGTTATTTTTGTCTCTCTGCAAGGAAGTAGGCAGAATCTCCCCATTACAAACACTGCAATTATGTTTGTGTGCCTCACTCTCAGAGTTCCGCATGGCATACTAACATTAATTTTTTGGTCACTGGTTTTTTTTTTTTTTGAACAATTGAACAATTTGAGGGAAGGACTACACTGAAAAGAAGGGTGTGCTCATTAATTAATAATTATAAATTAATAATTAATATTAATTATAATACTATTTGTTTCTGTTCTCTCTTTTATCACCAATAGCTAGAGGCTTATCACAAACATCGCGTTATGGTGATGTTACTGGACTACCAACAAAATGGCTTTTACTTTGGCAATGAACGCTTCAGACAGAGAAAAGTTGAGATACAAAATAAGGAGACCTCTTTTCCTCAAATCCTGGAGATCCAACGAGCCTTGGTGTCACATCGAACAAAACTTAGAGCAGCCCTTGCTCGGAGCAGAATTAGAGACTGTGCAATAAGTGTTGAGGCCTTACTTCCAAAAGAAGAACAAGACAAACTGCAATATGCAGCACAACAGCCTGTGTATGCAAGAGTAAATACATGGAAAGCTAGCTATAGTGATATTCTGGAGACTTTAACAACTGAGGGTTTTTTGATGGAAGACAACTTGCCGTCAGCAGAGGATGATGATAATCCACCTGGTGTACGCTGTTTTATGAAGGATCAGCATTTTGAGAATTTGCTTGTGTTTCCACCAGCTGTCAAGTTTAATCTTTATGAGAGTGACCTCGTATTAGAGGGCAAGTTGGCAATTCAGGTACTCTTTTTTTGATATATATATATATATATATAACATTGAAATAATTTCTGATCAAGCCATGAGTACAGGATTGTTGTGAACTACGTACAGCACCTCAGTTTATCTAGCCTGCAGAGCAGGTGTCTTATTAGGGTAAGTTAACAACTCAATCTTGTGATGATGTATTGACCAGCTATGTTTGATTTAGAGGTAGATTGGTAAGTTGGGGGAAGGGAGGCCACTGCTACAATTTATCTTTGGTACTGATAATGGTAGTAAGTTTCTGTGTTATTGGGCAATGCTCTGACTGTGCCACCTCCACTAAGGTACAGCTGGACTTAAAGGGAAGCCTGGTGAACTGCTGGAAGGCAATTTGTGATTGATTAGCATGTCATCAAGGAAAAATAGCAATATTCATACCTGCTTCCTGCTACTGAAACTGTGAGGAAAGTCTATACTCAAGCCAAGTGATCCATCCAGTCAGAGCTTACCCTGGTTTCCATAGCATGAAGCAACTTGGAGTATTCCTACTCCATCACAAAGTTACCCCTTCCCCCCCCCACCCTCCCCTCAGCTTTTCATCAGGCTTCCCTGACAATTTGCCAGAGCTCATTTTAATTGTACTCCTGGGTGGAGAGAAACACTGTGAGAGTGTCTTACCCAAGAACACAACGCCATGAGCCAGCTAGGTCTCGAACCCAGACCTCTGGACCTGCATTCCAGTGCACTAAGTATCAGACCACAATGTCTCCAACAAGCTGGAATATGAAAGAAACTACTAGTTGTTATGTTTTATTACTTTTTTTTGGAAAAGGACAAGTCAACTGTAGTAGCTGCAGAAGTTGTCAATTCTATGGTGTTGGAGTTTGCCTCACAGAAAGAGAAAGCTGTCCAGCTTATTCCAGGGACTGATGTTCAGACAATTTTAGGCGAAGGAGATGACGTCATTCAAACTCATGCAGAGTCTGGTAGGTTTATAACATGCAATAAAAGATGTATTGATTGGAGCAGATTGCCTGTAAACTAGCTGGAGTGCCGCATTGCCCTTGTACTATACATTTGCCAAAACGCACCATTCCAACAGTAGCACCTGTTATATGGCCTACATGTGGCTTAGTAATTATTGCTGGTAGTTCAGTGTAATATTGGAACATCGGACTAGGAAACTGAAGCAAGTTGGGGTTTGAATCCTTGAAATAGCCTTAGATTTTGCTTTGGTTCTAGCGTACAGGACAGGCGTATTTTTTTCATATTTTTTAGGCTAACAGAGGCAAACGCGAGGTGAGCGCGAGGCGAGCTCGAAGTACGACTCACATGCGCAAAATAATTTTTATTTCTTTTCTCTTCCACTCGCACGTAACTCGCACTTCGCGCTCGCCTTGCGTTTACCTCCGTTCGCCTGAGAGGCGCAAAAAAATTACGCCTGTTCTGCAGGTTATTTTGGTTCAAGCCACCTCCGCACTGATGCGTTTTCTTTTTGGTACGTATTTGCGTATCATCCACAATTGAACTCTCAAAACTGCTAAAGCTGACGTTTCGACCGTTAGCGTTGTTTGAGACAAAAACGGACACACTAGCATTATTGGAAACCCACTTTTATGGCAAATGATTAGAAAATCATTATTTATGCTATTTTTCTTGTGTTGATTTATTTAGGGAACCTGACAGCCCACCTGTCTTCGCTAATCCATCCTGATAGAAAGATATTTGCGTTTAGTGTTGCCAGTGACAGTCATACGCAGATTGAGGATAAACTCGAAAGAATGGCGGCCAGAAGTATCTTTTTGTTGCGATTAAGTTCAGTTAATTTCTCTTTTAATATTTGCGTTCACATTCGTTCCTAAAGAGTCTTTCATAGGACTGAGATGACATTTGGTGCGAAAACGTTGACCTCAGAACTACATCTAACTAGCTAAAACATTATTTATCTTTGTATGTATGGCTTGCCTGTTTCCCCGCTCTTTTGTATTTTACGTGCTTCTTTAGCACGTGGCTTTAAATGTGTCTCCTTGCAGTTGTTCGGCGGTATTAGATTCCCCTTTAGACTAATGAGGTGTTCTAAGCTTCCGTAGATAGTGATCTTAGCTTTTTCTTTTTGGAAAAAGGCGCAACCTCACCGCGCGCTCAGAGTCTCCTATTTTCCTGGGAAGATCGAAGGAGATACGGCATAGAGCGGTTGCTCTACCTTTCTAAAATGTGATACATATAAATATTAGTATGCAATTTCTCCGTAATGTTTCCTATTCATTTCCTAAAGGGATAACAAGGAGAATTTGTGTAACAATTAAGAGCTTTTTAGTTGGTGATGATTTCCTTTATTCTCGTGACCGTAATGTGTGATGCAGGGGTGATATTGTAAGGAGAAATTAGATGTTGGTCACTTAAGTATGAAAGGGTTAACTGGGTGATCTGCTCTAGAATACCTGAAATCGTTTGTCGTGGTCAACCTTAACAAGTAATTCAGATGTCAGCTTGCTAGAGGAAAGCTTTCTAGATGCTCTTCCGACCGATGAGCGCTTTAAGAAAGTTAGAATCATCGTAGTCAATGTGCCTTGCTCCAAGTCAGGGATTGTCAACCCGGTAGATTTCGTCCTTCAAGAGGGTGTTACCTCGTCTATCAAAGAGCTTGCGCGCGGTAACGTGGACACCAGCAAAGTGAAGGGACTCGCTTTCCAGCACTTGAGTTTTCTAAGACATGCTATGAAGTTCCCACAAGTACAGGCCATAATTTACATCACGCGCTCGACGCAGAACGTAGAAAACATGGATGTGGTTAAGAAGGCTATGGAAATGAACCAAGAGGAGCGAAGCAAATCGACGAGTTATTTTGAACTGACGCCAGTTTTGCCAAAAGTTGCCCAGAATTTAAAGGAGGCAGCCAGGATTTCTAACGGCCTCCTTCAAACCGAGATTACTTTAACACACAAAGGTAATCTATCAACTGGAGCAATTTTCAACTGAGTGTCGATAGTAATTCGAGATTTCATCGGCTTTATTTCACTTCGTTCTGTGATTGGTCCAACAAACTTGCGCCACTCAGCCAATCAGATGCAAAACTAAAACTAATCACGACTCGGTCGCTCGCTTTTTCCCGCGCTTTAGGAAGTTTGGTAGTTTATTTTTCGAGTGATCGTAGTTTCATTTCCTCTGATTGGCCGTTCTGATCACGGTGATTTTGGTTTTTACGACACTCAATCGGAAAGGGCTCAGACTTTGTTATCAATTAAAAAACTTCGCTTTGTCTTTCTTAGCGTCATGTAGTAAGTTGTGTGGGGAATTCTTTGAAATACCTTGACTTTTTCTCAGAGTGATCAGTAGGTTAGCCATTTTAGATGTAATAAGAGAAAACTTCTATTTGCTCTACAAAATCGTAACGAAAGGGTTACTGTTTCTATGTGGTTGTTTCACGCTGCTAAAACAATTAAATAAAGATAAGCACAGTAACTCGGTGAAAAACAAAAAACCTCGTACATTTGTTGGTGCACTTTTTTCGTTAAATGGAAACTATTTTTTATTTATTTAACAAATAGACAGTGAGACTTTGAGTCTTATTATTTGGGGAGTTTTATCTTAATATAAACGAGAATATATAGCAAACAGAGGTACAGAATTGTCCATTTGACGTTTCTAGTTTGAATCCATACATAATAGAGGCCTCGCATCTCAGTTAGTCGTAAGATCTTCCGCAACAATGGTTGTAAACTGCCAGGAATGAACATTTCTCAAAGATTACCAGTCATAAGGTTTTGCTTTTGTTCCATTTAACATTTAGAACCAGAGACCAGATACTTGAGTCTAGAGCCTTCGGCTGCGATGAATGGAGGATTCGTTGCACTTCTTAAAAGACAGGTGAGTACGCATGTTTTGATTGTCATCAGATGAAAACCAAAACTTATCGTGCATAATCTGCGTGACAGGCGTCATTTTTGGAGGAGGGAGGGGGGAACTCCTCTAGATTATGGGAGAAAAGCACGATGCGAGAGCGGAATGTGAGTCACTCGAGTAAAATCCTTTTTTCGCGCTCTTCCCCTCGCGCGTGACTCCTTCTTAACGCACGTCTCGCGCTTTCATCAGTCTCACCCAAAATTCGCATGAAAATGGCGTTAGTCTCCCATACCAAACTGATTACGACTTGGTCACCCGCATTTTGATCGCGTTTTCGACGCGTCCTTTGAGTCTTGGTCACCCGCACATGGATTTGGATACAATAGCTTACTTTGTCTCCTCATCGGCCCCTTCTGATTTATTCCTTTAGCCACTTTAGTCACTTCTACGGGATTTAGTTCACGACGCTCAGTTGGAAAACACGATATGATTTATCCGCAAGCAAAATTTTCCACTTCTTTCTCGTTGTTTTATATTCCAGAAACCAGTAGAGACGGCACAAGAAGTTCTCGAGAGAGCAGCAAAGAAAGGCTTAATGAAACCTAAAGGTAAACCCGCAAGAATAAACAGCCCCAGGGAAAAACCCAAACCTCGGGCCCAGGCGGATATGACGCGACTTCGTATCAAGGACGCTGCCGTCGGAAACTTATCGGATAATGAGGAAGATCGGAACTCGTTGAAGGTCTCCAACACTCCGAGGAAGCCTCGAAGTTGGCACGGATCAGCCGAAAATTTGTCGAAGTCTAACACGAAAGATGCCGTTTCCTCGATTCCGTCGCCTTCTCAAGGCGCAGTGAAAAAGAAGGGAAAACAACCAAAACCATTTATGTTTTAGATATTTTTGTACCTGAAGTAAAAAATTGGCGAATAGTTGAATAAACTGGTTATATGTTGAGAATTTTAACAACCAACTCGTTAGGAGTTGAACGTGGTTATATATAATCACGACTGGAATATACGTGGAATATACGTGTGCTGAGCTTTTTCCCAATTCTCTCAAGCACTTTGTGACACTTAGTTCGTGGGAGAATCTCGAAAAGCGCGCGACGCCAGTCATTAAATGATCAACCTGTAAATAGTTATTTGTCATAACTTATTGGATTCGATTTCTTGTCGATATTTCTGTGGTCAAAAATATGTTTGTTACTACGACGCACTACTGTAACGATTGATAAAACATGTAGTGTATTTATTAAGATGTTACAAGGATTAAAGTTTGTATATTTTTTAATTCTTTGAAATAGAGGCATGATCCAGGCTACAAATATAGAAATAATAATAATAATAATTATTATTATTATTATTACTGTTATTATAGTACTGATGATGACAATGAATATTAAACAATTATTCCACGAGCAGGTGTTGGATATGAGGTGATCGCGAGATTATAAATATTATCTTGACTATCTATCATTTCATATCCAACAAGCGCGAATGAAATAGTTGTTTTATCAAAAACGCCCCAAAATATTGATAAATCTTCCCAACTTAATTTTGTAAGAACCTAAGAACCGCTTACACTTACCATATTTGTAGAGCATGGTATAATGGATCTTAACCCATGATGGTTAAGCCAATGAGAACTCTTGAATTGCATTATCCAATAATCCAGGTTTTGATAAATCTGGTTATTGTCACTCTGTTTGGCACTGTGGCGCATTTTGCGAGCTGAAGGAGTTTTTTTAGCCCGCTGAAATGTTTTATAGCCCATTCGCAAACTCACGTGCTTGTTCAGACAGTTCACCCCCACCCCACGGGTTTTCCCCCACCCGAATGATTTTCCCCCACACCTCCCCCTCAATTCCCTTTCCCGTTTACGTTTTACTCTATTGAAATAGTGGGGAGAAAGCTCTCGATGGAATTTTATTATTCCTGATGTTCGTGGTGAAACAAAATGAGTCATCTTTATCCATTTCGGTGTGGTGGTGAATATATCCTTCAGTTCGTACCATTTTTTTAATTTTATAAGCACATTTGAATCAATTTCGATTCATTATTCCAGATGGTAGCTCTCTCGAATTATTGCGAATTTTCCCAGGCTGCAATCACGCTATGTAAAGAAGTTGTGGGTTAATTTTCCGAAAATATTTTCGTTATCCAACTGATAGAGAGATTTTTTTGGTAGTAAGCCCCCACTATCAGCACATCGCTGTTTCAGATAAAAAAAAGATATCCCCTTTATAGAATGAAATGCTTGATCTTTTGTTATAGATTAATCGAAATGTTATTCGCACCAGGAAACGACGAATAATTAGACCTCCCCAAAGTCACAATGCTTTCGAGAATTGAAATGTTCGAAAGGAAAAACAGTTGACATGAAACTTATGAAAAACTCAGAGCTTAACGTTAATTTAGATCCTCACTCGGAAACCGAGAAAACTTTGTTCATATGATCATAGCTTTCATAATCTTGTGTACTTTTGAAAGTATTTATAACTTGTTTGTCCTCTTAGGAAAAATGCTTGGTTGGTTTGTTCCATTATTCAGACCACGTTGCGCGTAAACAAGCTATCATAAATGGTAATGCTTCCAAAATTAACATGTAAAGATAATGTGGGTTCAATGGTCTCTGATGGGCGTGCTGTACTTCAGTGTTTAAAACGCTAAAAAGCTAACTGAACAAAAGGCGAAGAAAATCAAGGAGTTTTGGAAACAGTGTCCAAACTTTCGGCAAAAAAATAGTCATTTTATAAGAGAGCTCAGTCGAGAGACTGAGTTAATTTTGAAAACAATTCGTGATGCAGACTAGGAATTTTTTTTAAGAAATGCTAGACCACTTGTTTTTTCCATTTTTTTCACGCAGGCCCGAGAAAGATATTCCCTCATTGACTTGAAAGGACAGGCCTCATCGCAAGATATACTAAGATAGCTTGTAGATTAAAGTAACTCTAATTCTCCCAAATTTGAAAGACCGCTGGGTGCATTTATAGAACTTTTCAAATATTAATGTTGATATATGCCTTCGAGCCAAAACATAAAAGTACTCAGTCAAAATATTCGAGCAATATCTCTTAACACTTTAAGTACATTTGATAGCCTTTGGAACCCTTGCTGTCGAAAATAACGAACGCATATGCTGGCTTCCTTGAGAGGAAGGTTGGAACGTCCTAAAAGTCTGGTTAGACCGTTTTTAAAAAATTAATTCCTTGGTTTTTTTCCCAGGTTATGTGCATGTCCCTATCCTTGATGACAAATGGCTTATCGAAGTAGTGTTGTTATGATGTGAAGTCAGAAATGAATTTCAATGTCGACCCGATTCACAGTGACTGGAGAGAGAGAAACACAGGTATGCGCTTTTAAAAAATTTTTGAAAGAAACATCATAAATATCTTTTCGTGCTCAAGTCCGATTATTTTCAAGAGAATTTCGTTCGCTTTTCCGCGAACCTTTTCATCTTTAATAGCAAAATGCTCCATTGTCTGTTCCGAGTAAGTTCGCTTTTTGTATTTACTGTTAGGGAAACATCACGCAGATAATATTAAAGGTGTTTTAAGTTCCGATTCCCTCCCTCAAGGGAAAAAAGGTTGACAGTAAAAGAAAAAAAAATGAATGGATACTGTCATGCAAAGAAATATCCCCGCTGACTTATTGTCATCAAATGGACTCCCTGCCTGGAACTGAATGTTTAAGTGAGTGAGTGAGAACATTATTTGAAAATGAACTCACCTGACACTTCTAAGATTGTAATCACTTTAGGTTGTCAAAGAAAAACAACGAAAAATTATGTCGATAAAAGTATTTCTGATTTGTTTGTTTTTTTTTTCTACATGACCGCAAGCCAAAGATTTTATCCAGAAATACGCAATGCGATGAAAACAGAGTGATGAGTCTGTTAACAAACTTTCTATATTTTCTCTTGTTCATAGTCCAGAAAGCTTGAACACCCCACTATTAAAGAAAATAATGATATGAAAAGAAACGAAGGCTAAAAAAAGACTACCGTGTAATTAGTCCTGAGCGTTTAGCTCTATATTTCTGGCATGTTCTTCAATTTAACTTTGTTTTTATTCCAGAAATGCATGAAGAACCACATTACACATTAAGACCTCTCGGTTTTCAAGATCTCGCTTCTAGAAACGCGAGCAGAAAAACGCGCGTATTGAAGCGCTAATTATGGGGATTTGCTCATGGGCGTATTCCCTTCGAAGGACAGTTTTCTAACGTGCAAAGGAAAACCTGGTCAGATCGGTTGAGGAGAACTTAATATCGGTGCTTAAAATTGGTTTTCTTAGCAAAACTTCAGCTTAGCAACCGCAATGAAACTCAAGAGATGGTGCTTTGTTCGTCTCGGTAACTGAGCTGAAATTTTCTTATGAGCAATAACCCCGCTAAAATCTCTTCTAAGGACTAAATGGGCTGAAATTTCTCACTTGAACAAGGGACATAAGTGCACCTTAGTGGTGAATTCAAATGAGGAAGCTCATACTTCGCGGGGGGTGTATTGCGTCAATAATGTGTAATGCTGATTTTTATTCTGGGTTATTTCACGTCTTAATGGACTCTTTGTAGACTCATGGTGATCATCCATTCCTTACAAGGATGTTCCAATCTACTTCCATTAACTCTTCAAGGTCTTAAACGGGGTAGGAATCTCGGGCTCTGTTTCCGAAAAAGAACGGAGGGGAGGGGGGGTAGCTCTAGTGCTTCCGGCTCAGTAGCAGTAAAATAACATCGTGTCGGGGCTTTCAATAACGAAAAGTTAGGGCATGGAAGTGTGTAACAAATTGAGCCATAACAACCCAGGCTCTCTCCCATCCCCCACCCCACCCCAACCCCACACAATCAGAGAGTAAGCCTCTCCCGACTCCTGCTCTCATTTTTTAGTCATCAGAAGCTGAGGTTCACAGATTAGCTGCAAAAACAACAAAAGAACTAACCGTACGATACTAAGAAAGTTACGATTCTAATTCGAAACACATTAATCAAAGACTCTTATGAAGGAAACAAAAATTATTTTATCAGCTGGGCTCAACGGCACTTCATATCCTGTACTGCGCATTTAAAACTGATATCACGTGATCAGGCTAATAGGAGGGCACGCATGCATTGCGAGAACAAGGTATTAATTGTTTCGCAATAAAGGGACGTAGTAGACAGGTACAATGGTCTTTTGCTCTTGAACAAGCGCTGAACCTATATTTTCATTGTCTAATTTTGGTGTATAAATTATCCCTTTTAAATTTGAGGAATTAGAAGAAAACTATTGGAAGGAAACAAGATGTCGCCTTTAGTTGAGGATGCAAATTGTGACCTTGAGAGCAACAGCTCGAAGAATCTTTCGGGTCGATGTCGTTGAAAATTTCGAGATATTTTCCCACAAAATAAATAAAAAATTGTTCCACACGCTACAGACGTTCCGCCTATCAAGTACTTTTTTAAGTTTTACTTCTAAAGCCCTTGCTTCCAGCTACGGCAAAATGAACCGTGAGCAGATAAAATGACGCGCTTGATTATTACCCATCAAGAGTTTAAATTCTCTTGGCTATGGCTCTTTTGGAACGAAAATTTAAAAGTGGCCAGACCCTCCGAGTTGCGGTGCGGAATTAGTTGGGATTTTAGAAGTAAAGTATTTTAGCTTTAGGGTATACTGATTCAGTGGATAGCGTTAGTGAAGGCGTGCTCTGATTGGCTTATCAAACTCCGAAAGCCCTTTGCTGTTTACCTTTGAGCAACTCGCGCAGGATTTGCGCCCGAAAACATTGTAAACGTTGCATGCATAAATGAGTTACAATCATCCTTTTGTACTATATTACCTCACTGTTTTAGTATATACAACTGACAGGTATTCACCTCAGTGTCGGTGGCTAGCGATGGCTATTTATCGGCAAATGGTCGTTAATTATATTTTCTCACAAATGTTTTATCAAGATCGTACTTAGCGGTCGTACTCAACAACATTATAGTACATGTTATACGAGTCCTTCTTTTGGAGAACTGTTTACTTATCAATCTCGAACGCTCCAGACTTTGTTAATTAGTTTGC